AGTGCTCTCCCGCCTGGGTGGCCTGGAGCTGGTGGTGGTCGTGCGCGTGGTGGTGCACCGGGTGGTGGTTCTGGAGGCGGGCCCTGTCAGTACCAGATCCAGACCGGTCCTCGCCGCGGCTTCGTTTGCGGTAAGATCGGTCATTCCACTCCTCGCTGTTTTCGTCGTCTGGACGACCTGTTCCGCCAGCGCTTTGGCCCGGCGCCCGACCTCCCGGATTGGCACAGCTTGCTTAGGCGTAGCATTCGGATTTTTGACTTGGACATGGATGCCATTGTAGCAGCCTTGCATGTGATGTATGCCGATGACTCTAGTGTGCTTCCCTCTTATTACCCCGTGTTGCCTAGTGTAGCTGTGCCTAGCGTAGACTCCCCTGCTGCGTCAGGCGTAGGATCTCCTGCTTTGCTTAGCCTCGGTGCTTCCACCGCTTCACTGTCGCCCCGCGCGACTGCTGCGCTTTCCTTCACCTTGGACTCTGGCGCCTCCCGGTGTTTCTTCCGCGACTCCACGACGCTGACGCCGCTGCCTGTTCCCGCTGCAGTTACTCTTGCTGACCCCTCCGGTGGTCCCGTCGTTGCCCGCAGTTCCACCTCCCTTCCCTATCCGGCGGTTCCTTCAGGTTCGCTCACCGGTCTGCATATCCCCTCGTTCTCCAGGAACCTAGTTGGTGTCGGCTGCCTCCAGGACCTTGGCGTCACCACTACGTTCCCTGGTCACGAGCGGTATGCTGTCTATACCGAGGCCGCCACTGGTGCCCCCCTTACCACTTTCCCCCGGGACCCGGTGTCCGGCCTGTTCACACTTGACACCGAGACGTCCCCGGCTGGGTCTTCCCCCCAGGTAGCTGCGTCCACCCAGGTTGCTGCTGCGTGCTCCTGTCGGTCCCTCACTCATCCGACTCTCCTTTGGCACCACCGCCTTGGTCACCCTGCACTCCCGCGTCTGCGTCACATGTCCCAGCACGGTCTCGTCCTTGGTCTCCCCGGTTCGTTCCCTGAGTTTCCCTCCTCCCCCGCCCCACCGTGCACGCCTTGTGTCGAGGGCCGGCTCCGCCGTGCCCCTCACTCCTCCTCTTTTCCCCCTACCACCGCACCCCTGCAGACTCTGCACATGGACGTCTGGGGCCCAGCCCCGGTCCATGGGCCGCGTCGCGAGCGCTTCTTCCTAGTGCTTGTCGACGACTTCACACGTTACACCACCGTCTTTCCCCTGGAGCGGAAGGCCGTCGTGCCTGACGTTCTCATCCCCTGGCTTGTCTCTGCTCGTCTCTACCGCGGTCTCCCTGCCTTGCGCCTCCACTCCGACCGGGGTGGCGAGTTCGCCTCAGGTGTCCTTAGTCGCTTCTGTCGTGCGGAGGGCATCACCCAGACGTTTACCCTGCCGGACTCCCCGCAGCAGAATGGGGTCGCTGAGCGACGCATCGGTCTGGTCATGGAGGTGGCTCGCACCTCCATGATCCACGCCGGTGCACCCCATTTTCTGTGGCCGTTCGCCGTGCGCTACGCCGCTCACCAGCTTAACCTGTGGCCGCACCCCCAGCGGCCGCAGGTTTCGCCGACCCTTCTGTGGACCGGGTCCCCTGGTGACGCGTCTGCGTTCCACGTCTGGGGCTGCCTTGCTCACGTTCGTGCCTCTGGCACGGACAAGCTCACTGCCCGCACCCTCCCCTGCGTCTTCCTCGGTTTCCCCCTTGACGCGTCCGACTGGCACTTCTACCACCCGCCGTCTCACCGTTTCTTTCACTCTCGCGACGTCACCTTTGACGAGTCCATCTCCTTCTACCGCCGCTTTCCCCACCGTGGTCCCCCGGTTACTCCCCCCCTGTTCCTGGTTCCTCCCTCCCTGGTGGCCCCTGCCCCTCCCCCCCCCCCGCCCCCCCGTCCGGCCCCCTCTGGTGTGTCTCACGTCACCCCCCTCCCGTCGGTCGTTCCGGTCGACGAGTCTTCTGACTCTGGTAGTCCTTTGGCGCAGTCCTCGCCGTCTGTCCCTCCCCCGGTGTCTCCTCCTCCACCGCCTCCGCAGCCGCCGTCGCCGCAGCTGCTGCAGCCGTCGTCTCCGCCGCCGCCGCCGTCGAGGCCGTCGCTGCAGCCGCCGCCGCCGCCGCCGCCGTCGTCGCTGCCGCTGTTTGTGGACTCTGGGGGTGCTGGCGTTGAGGTGGGTACTAGTCCCGGGGCTCCTGTCGTGGCTTGTCCCGGCGGGCCTGGGGGTGGTACCGGTGCTGGCGGGGTTTCGGGCTCTGGGGGTGTCCCTTCTGGGGGTGCCGGTGTGGAGGGTTCGGGAGGTAGCCGTCGCGCAGCTTGTGGCCCTGGCGTTGGTGTTGTGTCGCCGCAGCAGCAGTCCCCGCCGGTGTCCGCCCTCCGTCTGCTCGGCCTTCCGTCCCCTGACCCTGCGCCTGTTCCTCTCCGGCCGTCTCCCCCTCTTCCCGTCTACGGCCCCGTGTTCCCTCCGCCGGACTCGTCCCCGGCTCGTTTTCCCCCTCGTTCCCCACCCGTGTCCCCTCCTCTGTCTCCTGACCCGACGCCGCCCTCTCACGTCTGGTCTCGCCGCCCCTCCCGTGCTCGTCCTGTCTCCCCCGTCCCGCGCACTCACCCTATGTTGCTCTGCTCCCATGCGTCTCGTCCTCCCCTCCTCCCGTCTCCTCCTCCGTCCTCTCTTGTCGTTGCGTCTCCTCCTCTGTCTGACTACTTTCGTGCCGCTCGTCCTCTTGTTCCTCGGGTCCTTGCCTCTCTCGTTACCGACCCGTCTGTTCCAGTGTCGAGTCTTGACGCCCTTGTCGCTGCGGTCACTGACTTCGCCTCTACCCGCCGCCTTGACTACGCCTCCGCTCTGGTCTCTGACCTTGCCTGTCCTCCGTCTGTCGGGGGTGCTCCTGCCCTCGGCAGTGACGTCCTGGAGGACCGCCAGTTTGAGCTTGCTTTCCTGTCCGAGGCTGCTCCCCATCTCTGTTCCATGCTGCTAGTCCCTGAGGGTGACCCAGACGCTTTTGACATCCCGACCCCTCGTACTTACGCTGAGGCGGTTTCGGGACCTTGGGCCTCTCAGTGGATAGCTGCCATGGACCAGGAGATGGCATCTTGGAGATCCACCGGCACCTTCGTCGACGCAGTTCTCCCACCTGGGGTGAACGTGGTCGATGGCCGTTGGCTCTTCAAGGTGAAGCGCCCTCCTGGAGAGCCGCCTGTGTTCAAGGCGCGTTACGTGGCTAGAGGCTTCAGTCAGCGCGAGGGGGTGGACTTCTTTCAGACTTTCGCTCCTACCCCGAAGATGACTACACTTCGGGTTCTGCTACACGTAGCGGCTCAGCGTGACTACGAGCTTCACTCCCTCGACTTCTCCACTGCCTTTCTTCAGGGCAGCCTTCACGAGCAGGTCTACCTGCGTCGTCCTCAGGGCTTTACTGGCACCTTCCCCCCTGGGACCCAGTGGCTTCTGCGGCGCCCAGTCTACGGCCTGCGCCAGGCGCCTCGTGAGTGGCACGACACGCTGCGTGCTACTCTTGCTGACCTGCAGTTCTTTCCGTCCTCTGCAGACCCCTCGCTCTTCGTTCGTGCTGGCTCGACTCCGTTCTACATCCTCGTCTACGTAGACGACCTGGTCTTTGCCACAGCTGACAGGGACGCACTGGCCTCCGTGAAGGCAGAGCTGCTGAAGAGACACACCTGCACTGACCTTGGAGAGCTGCGCCGTTACCTTGGCTTGCAGATCTCCAGGGACAGAGCCGCGCGCACCATCACCCTGACTCAGTCACACTTGGTGCGCCAGGTCCTTCAGAGGTTCGGCCTTCAGTTCTCCTCCGCACAGCCCACCCCTCTTCCTCTGGACCACAGACTCTCCGCTCCAGTTCCTGAGGAGTCGGTAGATCCCAGTGGTCCTTACGCTGAGCTAGTGGGTTGCCTCATGTACCTGATGACTTGCACTCGCCCAGATCTCGCATACCCTCTCAGCATCCTGGCTCGTTTTGTGGCCACAGGCAGACACCGACCTCAGCACTGGTCTGCCGCTAAGAGGGTTTTGCGTTATCTTGCAAGTACATTGGGCATGGGGTTAGTGCTAGGCGGACGCAGGCCAGTGGTCCTTACTGGACACACAGACGCTTCGTGGGCAGACGACGCCGAGACGCTCAGGTCTTCCCAGGGCTACTGCTTTAGCCTTGGCTCAGGTGCTGTCTCGTGGAGAGCTACCCGCTCCTCGTCTGTTGCCCAGTCCAGCTGTGAGGCTGAGATCTACGCCGGTGCCATGGCGGCACAGGAGCTCCGCTGGCTGACCTTCTTGCTCACTGACTTAGGTGAGCGGCCTAGCTCTGCCCCGGTCCTGTACGCTGACAACAGGGCCATGATTCTCCTGTGTCAGGAGCCTCGACTCGAGGGCAGAGCGAAGCACATCCAGCTGCGGTACTTCCTCCTGCGCGAGCTACAGCAGCGTCGCCAGGCTCGCGTAGTACACTTGGCCTCCGGTGCCAACACAGCTGATATCTTTACGAAGGCGCTTGCGCCTAAAGATCATCAGCGGCACTGTTTACAGCTTGGTCTGGTTCCTGTAGTCTCTCACTTACTCGGGCCTTGACTTTGTACTGTCGTATATATATATATGTATACACTCAGACTGGACTTGTGTCCTCTCACAGTGGTTGGACTAGTAGTGCCGCCCTGTACTCGTTCTTGCCTTGTCTGTACTCCTTCTGACTGGTCTTTTAGACCCTTGTCTCAGAGGCTGGACTAGTAGTGCCACCCTGAGCTGCTTGTCTAGAACATTCCCCTATGCAGTCCAGGGGGTGTGTCAAACATGTGTAGTTATCATGTTTGTATAGACTGTATAGGGTCACCTTCTAGAGAGTACAACATTTAGGTATATGTTTGTGTACTCTCTCTCGCACATCATTCAATTCTAGGTTTGATATATCGCGCTATGCGCCCTAGATGATAATGAAGAGATGCGACTGTTCGCGTGACTGAAACGACTGTCCTATGACGAGCGCTATTTGCTGACGTCATACTACGGACTTATCTTCTACAGTTTGATTCGACACTAACTACACTTAATCGACTTACAGAAATGCTAAGTATCAATTATATCGTAGCACTGGGATAGCCCTGTCGAACCTCTTCTCTCTTTAGGGAGGGTACTAGGGAGACTTTCCCTGGGGAAGGTTGTTATACGGAGCCTAACTCTCCTGAGGACATCCCTTCTTGTCCCAGTGGTTAGGACTGGTGACTTAATGACTAGGAATGCAGCCAAATTTGGCTCATACAATGTGACAGGGTGTCTAAAAAACGGCTTCCACTCTATCCACCTAGCTAAGCCCCCTAGCCAGACTCGCCTCTGGTCAAACACAGTCTGAGCATGATTTGGTGAGTCAGACCTTTCTCAATACCATTGAAACATAGGTATGACGGAGTGTGCCAACCAAGTGCATTTCACATCGCCACGACCCTGCCTTGTGCGTGCAGAGCGCGCGAGTGATTGGTTCCTCGAGTTCGTCTTCCTTTCCAAGGGTTTGTGAACAACTCGGTCCGTCTGAACCAAGGTGGTGCGAATTCTTCCCCCTGTTTGGGAAAATCGCGAGTCTGACTCGAGGCTGTGTGCTCTGCTGATGAAAGAAGGGCCAATCTACATGGGAGGGCCAAACCCAAAGTCGGTTGACAGAACTCGCGGCATGAAGAGCCCCATCCGCCTCTTCTCCTCTTCCTTCATCTCCTTGTGCCTCCTCTCCTCCGTTTGAGTCGACTCAAGCTTTGATTATAACTGAAGAGCAGCTTTACATGGGAGGGCCAAACCCGAAGTCGGTAGAGAGGACTCGTGGCATGAAGAACCCCATTCGCCTCTTCTCCTCTTCCTCCCTCTCCTCCTCGTGCCTCCTCTCCTCCTTCTCCCTCCTCTCCACCGTCCTCTCCTTCTCCCTCTCCCTCACTTCATCCAACCCTTCTTGCCCCTGACTTCCTTCCCCATCCCTCCGCTCATGCTCCTCCTCCTCTTCCTCCTCCTCCTCCCTCCCCTGCCTCTCCTGTCCCCATCTACCTCCTCCTCCACCTATTTCCCTCGATCTGTCATGTGCAACAGAAGGAGTGCGCGGGGGCAAGGGCGGCAGGAGGGCCTCATCGACGTCTAGGGACGCCTGCACCTGCACCAGTCGCTCCCTCGCCAGTTGGATCTCATGCTCCAAGTACTGGTGCCGGGCACTCGCCTCCTGTTGTTGATGGGGGAAGGTGGGAAAATGGTAAGTCTAGGATAAGGCGCCTCAAAACCGCACCTGCAGCAGTCTCTCCCTCGCGAGTCGGATCTCATGCTCTAGGTACCGGTGCCAGGCAGTTGCCTCCTGCCAACACGAATGAGGGGGGAAAGTGGTAACAAGGTAAGTATTGGTTTGAGAGGCCTTTCAAAACCGCACCTGCAGCAGTCTCTCCCTGGCGAGTCGAATTTCACGGTCGAAGTACTGGTGACGGGCAGTCGCCTCCTGTGATGCCAAATGAGGGGGGAAGTGGTAAATAGGGGAAGTCTAGGTTTGAGGCCTTTCAAAACTGTACCTGCAGCAGTCTCTCCCTGGCGAGTGGGATCTCATGCTCTAGGGGGCAGTCACCTCCTGCCGTGCCGAACGAGGGGGAAAGTAGCATCATTACATGGGAGGGGGACGTGAGAGATGGGGAAAGACTTAGAAAAATAGGTAGAGGAAATGATGGTAATGGGGGGGGGGGAGATGATGTAATCACAAGGAAATGGCCTCCTTTAATCTGACTTCCCCCCAATCCGACTTCCTTCAAATTCACTTCTCCACACAAACCCCCCCCCAGCTCTCACCTCCACGTCTCTCCTGTGCTCCTCTTCCTTCCTCGCCTCTGCCCAGCCCTGCTTGGCCACCTCTGCAACTATGATGCTGCCGCCCACCTGGGGGGAGGCGAGGGGAGGAATTGGCAGGAGGGAACGAGAAAGGCAACAAAGGAGTGGGTCAAGAAGATATGCTGGACTCCCTGCTCGTCACGTTGGCACCTATCAGGCTGCTGGCCACCCGGGTGAAATGGAATGGCACGTGGATGAAGAGCGGGTGGATGAAGAGCAGGTGGATGAAGGGCGGATGGATGAAACGGAGTGGTGGTTTACCCCGAGCACCTGATTCGCTTTATAAGCTCACCCCGAACACGAATCGCTCTGCCAGTAGATGGGCGGTCGATCCACCGCCATTCAGTTGTTCAGCGGTTGAATGGGTAGATTGAGAAATGCCCTTTAGAGCACCTCAAGCGCCCTATCCCCCTTATAAGCTCACCCCAAATACGAAGATCTCTCCCACTAGATGAGCAGCCATGTCCACCGCACTCTCCTCGTTGAGTGGCCGGATGGGCAGGTTGCGATGGTGGCCGGGGCGGTGCCGCGTGTCCAGCTTCCGGTGCAGTCGCACGTTCATGCGGTGGAAGGCCTGGGAGGGGGCGACGGGCAGGGGAAGGAAGATGCGTCTTATTAAGTGGTCGTAACCAGAGGGGAAGGAAGAGAAAAGCAGGGGTTGGGAGCGATTCCATGGGGCAAGACTAGAGAGTGCAATGCCACGTGCCCAGATTTCTGTGCGGGTGCACGTTCATGCGGTGAAAGGCCTGGGTGGGAGGAGTGCACCGAGGGGGGGCAACAGGCAGAGCAGAAAGGCTAGCAGGGTGAGGTGCGTCGAACTTCGTGTGTAGGCGCACGGCATGGGAGGGAGAGCACAGAGAGGGGGACATAAATGGAGCAGAAAGGTACGCAGGATGACCACAAGGTGCGCACCTGAGATGACACCCGAATAAGCACTTGAGCGAAGAGGCTAACCCCGGCTCGGAACCCGTGTCATGCGCACCTGAGGTCACTACTGAGATCACACCTGAAAAAAACTGGTCACTACTAAGATTACACCAAAGATCACACTGACATCACACCTGAGATCACACCTGACATCACACCTGAGATCACACCTGAGATCCCACCTGAGCAAAGAGGATGACTCTTGCTCGGAACCCCGTGTCATGCGCCGCAGCAGCCGCCACAGTGAGCTTGATGGGCGCTCCTATCGTCTCCATCAGCGCCGTTAGCAGGCGGTAATGCACGGGCAGCATGGCGATGCTGGCTTAATCTACGCTCGTTATAAGCAGCTTCAGAGCAGACCGATGGTGATGGGCGCGCCGATGGACTCTACTAGTGCGGTTAGCAGGCGGAAACGCACGGGCGGAAGCGCACGTGCAGCATGGCGGTGCAAGGCGGGCGTATTACTGAGCCTGATGGGCGCGCGGATGGTCTACCAGCGCGGCTAGCAGGCGGAAACGCACGGGCTGGCGGTACTAGGAGTCGGTTGGGGTTTGTTCTAAGCCGCCTGAGAGCAGATCGACAGCGAGCTCAATGTGCGCCGGGGTGGTGTCTACTAGTGGGAAAGCACGGGCAGCACGGCGGTATTAGGAGTCTGTTAGGGCTATTAGGGTGCGCCGATGGTGTCTACTGGTGCTGCGAGCAGGCGGAAATGCACGGGCAACATGGTGGCATGGGCTTGCTGTGGGATTCCGTTGAGCCGCCTAAGGAACATGCGCACGGATTCGCGAGGAGCATGGTGGTTCTGTGGGGACAGCTCCGCTTCCTGGCGTCTCAACACAGACGCACGGGGAGCATGGCGCGCGGGGGCCGCTGTGAGCCGCCTCACAATGCGGAGCGCATGGGTATGCCACAAAGAGACGTTTTCGTCCGCTTACCGACACTAGGTGCGTGGTCAGCCACTTCAGGAGAAGCGCACGGAAAGCGTAGTGCTCAGACAAGGGCAAGGCGCGTTGGTATCGAGAGACGTGTGGAGAGAAGGGTGCTACTCACGTGAGGAGTGCTAAGATCTGCTACATTCTGTACCAGCAGAGCAGAACTCATGCGTAAACGACCAAGGGGGTGATTCACAACCTCCTGTCATGCAGAACTTCCTCAAATGCTGGAAACCAATCACGTACACTCTCAAGTAATATATGAGCATATTATTGGCTTCCAGGTTTCTTGGAAGACACAGAGACGAAGGAGACGAAGCCGTGAATAATCCCCAAGTTAGCCCTGCTTGTGCTCCTGGTTGGACGGTGAGATGCCAACTCCACAGACCAATAGATTCAATTCGAGCCCTAGGATGTCGCCTAGGGAACATCGTGGTGGTGCGCTCATCGCTCCAGCTGCTCAGTATTCCAAGGTGTCAGAAGCGCCACGTGTAAAGCGAGTTTCGATAACAGTGAAGAGCTGTTCCGCATTGAGGTACATTTGTAGACCTGATGTAAGAGCAATAAGATGACAGATTATTAGGCTTGACGTAATAACAGAGCGCTTCAATATTGAACGTTTTTGCTTGGCGGGAAGAAAATACCTTGGGACTTGCGTCTCGGACGGAAACCACGCGCCTCTTCCTCCTGCTCTACATGTCTGCTGTCATGGCGAACTCGTGGCAACTGGCTCCAAGCAAACATTACTGCAGTCTTCTGACCCGGGGATTTAGTTGATCTTGGTCTCTCCTCCATGACTTACAGTGGACTCTCCTTGAAGTAGGAATTCCTTCTTTGCAGTGTGCGACCTCGTGCCGTAGCCGTCTCGCGTAGTTAGGAAATACCACGCCTTGCCAGTCAGAGCGCACTCCGTTTCTTCCCTAGTTGCGAGGGTGTTTCTATTTTTTTTATAACGACTGCTAAGACTTCCGCCTGGTGCTGCGACGTCGCCAGGGTCGCGCTGTACTTTCGCGCGAGCGAATTGCCGAGATTGTCGAATCGCCGGTTGCACATGGCGACGATGTCGCAGGAGGACGGCTGGCGAGCCCTGGGGTTGCGCGATCCGCCATCGGCGATTCTTGATGACGTCATCAACGCTGTACGAATCCTACAGATATCGTGCCACGTGCTGATGTGATTGCTAACAGCCCAGTATAGAACTCATCAGAGTAGGGCAAAATAGGAAGAAATAACCATATTACAGGATCAAACGATCGTGTTGAGGGGCCTTAGAAGGAACTAACTAGCATAGGCTGACCATTTTTGCTGCTGCTTGGAGTAAGTTGAAGTACCTCCTGCAGCGGTCCCGGCACTCGCCCTCCTTCACTCCTCTACTGAACTACGTTTCCCCATCCGGCCGTTGTCGCTCGATATCGCCTCATTGATCGCTCTTTTCGTCATGTTCGTTCGTTCGTCCCGATTTGACGCCATGAGCGCGGTTGCAGTACGGCTGCAGCATCATGTCCCTGCGCGCTGGCAGGAGACGGAAGGGGAAGGGCGGAGGCAGACGGGCTGAAGTGTCTAGGTGCTCTGATCTGAATGCCTAGGACCGAATCTATTGAACGCCCTTAGCAACGTTTAGACCGTCTTGACCAACTGATTGCCTATAAGAGCGACAATCACCAAACGATCGCTTTCCTTCAACTGCTTTTCCTTGGTTTGTCTCTTCTGCTTCTTCCCGCCTGTTTCCATTCCTCCCTGTTCTCGTTCGAGTGTGCTCAGGTGCACGAGACATGGCAGGATGGCATCGAGGAATTGCAAAGGTGGGTGGCGGACAGTGGGCAGCGGACAGTGGGCGGCGGACAGTGGGTGCCAGACAGTGGGCGGCGGACAGTGGGTGCCAGACAGTGGGCGGCGAACAGTGGAGTGGATGTCAGACAGTGGGTGACAGACTGTGAGTGGGAAACAGACATGTCTTTGCAACTTCATTATGTGCTTCCCTTTGTGATCGGTATGCATTTCTGACCGGTTTCCAGCCTTTTTTCTAGACCGCTCACACTTTCACCAAACCTCGTCTCTTCCAAGCTTGGACTCTTTCTTGTTTCCTATCTTCCCCCCTGAAGTTGGCCCCTTTTTTCCATCTGGATATCGGCATTTGTTGAACCTTCCTGGTTATGGCTTGAGATGTCGTTGCATGATGACGTGCCATGCTGTGGCATGACCATGGTATGGCATGGTGGTTTCGTTGCAGTTGCATCATGGAAAAGTGCCCTGAGGCAGGAAAGTCCAAGCTGCAACAGGTGAGAGTGCACGACCAGACGTTTCTATGCTAGGGGTGAGAGCTGCATCCGCATCCGCCGGCTGCTGTTGTTATCATGCTTCCACGTCCACCCGCTAGCGGCAGTATCTCTCCGTCATCTTTTGCGTGAACCTGCGTTGACTCAAATTGAAAGAACACACGTTCAACTGCTGTTTCCGCCTGCTTTCCCATCCCGTTCCAAATGTGCTCTTTACAATCTCCCTCTCTCCCTTTCTTTCATGCCTCAGGATCCAGAGCAGGCGTACCTTCTCGGCGAGGGGAAGATGGAGGAGCACATGGAGGTCTTCATAGCGCGCCCATCTTGCCACTCCCTTGCTGTCCGTGTCACCTCCTTTTGAGGCGCCTCAAAAATAGACTCCTGTCCGTGTCACCGCCTTTCTACCTCTCTCTTCTCCGTGCCTCAGGACCTAGACCAGGCGTACCATCTCGTAGAGGCGAAGATCGAGGAGCACATGGAGGCCTTCAAAGCGCACGCCCTCGCTACAGTCTTCAACCTCCCGCCTTCAGTGCGAGCACACCTCGCCACACTGCCACCCCCGCCGCCTCGTGCCACGTCAGCAGCTGCGCCAGCTGGCAGTGCCGCTACAGCAGGAGTGGATGATGACTTGGCAGCGGAAGAGGCGGCTCTTGATGCTGAGCTGGCAGAGCTTCATGCCACGCTGGCTCAGGTGTGAAACGTTGATAATGGCTGTGCTGTCGCTTTTCCCATTCCCTGTGCTTTTTCCATTGCTCGTTGTGCGATCGCCACTGGTTATTGTGCAATCTTCGCTGCTGCTAATTGCGTGTTTCAAACACTGCTTGATGTTCTTTCTTATTCCTTCCCTTTCTCACGTCTTCCTTCTCCGTGTGTACTACCCTTTTTTACCCTCCCTCCCGTTTTGCTTCATTTCTCTCCGCGTAGTATCTCTCTTTCTTTCTCGCTCCCAGGCCACCTCTCTCCCCTCCACCTCCATCGCGTCTTCAACCCCCCACCCCACCCCTCCCCACCCGTCCCCACCCGTCCCCACCCCTCCCCACCCCTCCCCTCCCCTCCCCTCCCCTCCCCTCCCCTCCCCTCCCCTCCCCTCCCCTCCCCTCCCCTCCCCTCCCCTCCCCTCCCCTCCCCCTCCCTCCTTTCTCCTGCCTTCCACTCACCTTCCCCCCACACGCAGCCTTGCTAAAACTACCCTTGCCACCCCTCTTGTCCGTAGTTCCAGTGGCCCCTACAAAAGAGACGGCGTTTTGGTTGTTGTTGTTGTTGATGTTGCACCTTTGCATCTCCCAGTCATCTCGGAAAAGGGCAGCACTGCAACTGACGCGTCAACAGCAGCAGGTCATGTCTCCTCCCCATCCCCTCCCTCTCTTTCCCTTTTGTTTCTTTCTCCCTCTCTTTCAGAAAACAGCAGGACCGTGAACCCCGGCAGCAGCGGCAGCAGCAACCCCTTTTCACCTGTCACTGTTGCTCTCACACCCGCTTGTACCCATCCGTCACCCGATTCAGAAAAAGGCAGAATTGCGGGCGATGCGGCGGCAGCAGCGGCAGCAGCAGGCAGCAGCTAACAGCGAGGGGCAGCTGCACCTGCTGCAGCAGATGATGCATGCTGATAATAGTGGTGGGTACTTGAGTACATGGGTGCATGGGTGCATGGGTGCATGGTTGCATGGGTGCATGGGTGCATGGGTGCATGGGTGCATGGGTGCATGAAGGGGTGGTTAGAACAGCAGTACTGGGCAGCAGCGAACAGCGAGGGGCATCTGAATTCGCTGCAGCAGATGATGCATGCTGATAATTGTGGTGGGTGCATTGGTCCATGGATTCATGAGCGCATTAATGTGTGGGTGCATGGGTGCATGTGTTCATGCAGGGTTGTAGACTTACCCCAAGTGTACCACCCTTCTCGAATCTTCTATCTCGTGTCCACTTCCGCCCATCCGTGACTGCAGAGCTGTAGGTGGAATTGCAGCCGACTCAAACATCTCCTACTGCCGCATGTCTCCCCCCCACCACCGCCCACCACTGATTGCAGAGTTGATGGCCTCTCACGAGCGGCTGCAAGCGCAGATGGACATGGCTGTGGAGATGACAGGTGAGGCATGGGAGGTGGGTGAGGCATGGGAGGTGGATGAGACATGAGTGATGGTTGTGGTGACCAGTCCTTCGTGCTCGGGCCTCAGTCAAGAGATGGAGCTGCTCGCCTCTCATGGCGTCCAGCATGGCGATGACAGGTGAGGCATGTGTGATGGGTGAGGCATGTGTGATGGGTGAGGCATGTGTGATGGGTGAGGCATGTGTGATGGGTGAAGCATGTGTGATGGGTGAGGCATGTGTGATGAGTGGGGCATGTGTGATGGGTGGGGCATGTGTGATGGGAGGGGCATGTGTGATGGGTGGGGCATGTGTGATGGGTGGGGCATGTGTGATGGGTGGGGCATGTGTGATGGGTGGGGCATGTGTGATGGGTGGGGCATGTGTGATGGGTGGGGCATCTGTGATGGGTGGGGCATGTGTGATGAGTAGGGCATGTGTGATGGGTGGGGCATGTGTGATGGGTGGGGCATGTGTGATGGGTGGGGCATGTGTGATGGGTGGGGCATGTGTGATGGGTGGGGCATGTGTGATGGGTGGGGCATGTGTGATGGGTGGGGCATGTGTGATGGGTGGGGCATGTGTGATGGGTGGGGCATGTGTGATGGGTGGGGCATGTGTGATGGGTGGGGCATGTGTGATGGGTGGGGCATGTGTGATGGGTGGGGCATCTGTGATGGGTGGGGCATGTGTGATGGGTGGGGCATCTGTGATGGGTGGGGCATGTGTGATGGGTGAGCCATGGCCCATGGGTGATGGGTGGGGTGTGGATAATGGGTGGCATAGGTCATGGATGGGGGCATGGAGGATGGGTGGAGCATGGAGGGTGCCAGTGTTGACAGCAGCAGTGGGCGTGTTGGGTGCTGTTGAAGGGAGTTTAGCAGCATTCACGACCATTTCTCTCCCCCCCCCTCCACATCATCGCTCACACAATCTCATACTCCAGGTGACAGGGAGTCTCTGCCTCAACAAGAGGAAGGGGTGGAGGGTGTGGCATTGCTGGCAGCAGCGCATCGGGGGCTCACTGGAGTGCTGGAGCATGCTGGGAGGCGGGCAGAGGGGGCTGGAGGGGAGTGAGTGATCTGTTTCCCCCCATTGGAGCCTGTGCTGTGCTCCCAGATGGCAGTAATGCGAGCAGAGTTACAGGGGTTTCTAATCTCAAAACGTGTACAGGCATCAGGACTCAGGCACGCTTGTGATGATCGTGGTCTGTAGATTTACGCAGGGACTCTGCATGTGGTAGTAAACTTTGTAACTCTGCTTTTTGCCGAACAGCAATGCATTGCTGTAATGCTGCCAGCCAAGGGCATCTCATGAAATTCAAGAATTTGTCAACATCCGCTCGCTGGAAAAGAGTGACCTGTACCTCGAAATGCAAAGCTGGTCAGTTATCGTGCAAATCTTGCATGATGACACTTCCATGACATGGACAGGGGTTGACACCCCGATTACCGTACCCTTGCCAGCGCCCACTTTACAGAGTATACCCTGATTTTGTAAGGGTAAAAAGGTGATTTGAGGCCGAATTTGCCCCTAGCACCCTTACAAATCAGGGTGAAATCATAAGAATACCCTGATTCCTAAGCATGCCCCAAAACCAATTCCTGTTCCTGTTCCATGTACCACATATTTCCTTGAATACAATTCCATTTAGCTGCTTCCATGTGTACACTGTACACACTTCCATGTATACGTTTCCGTGTAAACGCTTCCACAAAAGCAAGCTGCGTGTGTCAGCTGTGTGTCACCTGTGTGCCTGCATGGGCAAAGAGGAAGGTGGGTTACAGCAGATGGAAGCCATTGGTTTTACAAAATGATAGCGGAGACAAGTGGTGGCACATGCCTGACATGGCATGGGCATGGGCGTGGGCATGGGCATGGGCATGGGCATGGGCATGGGCATGGGCATGGGCATGGGCATGGGGCATGGGCATGGGCATGGGCATGGGCATGGGCATGGGCATGGGCATGGGCATGGGCATGGGCATAGGCATGGGCATGGGCATGGGCAATGGGCATGGGCATGGGCATGGGCACGGGCACGGGCACGGGCACGGGCACGGGAACGGGCACGGGCATGGGCATGGGCATGGGCATGGGCATGGGCATGGGCAATGGGCATGGGCATGGGCATGGGCATGGCAGACAGCGAAGTGTGATGCAGTGGCTGCAGTGGTAGCTTTGCTAGCGGTTCAACATGACATGGTAAAGGGTTTCAGGGTGTGGAATGCGGCACCTGTCTGGAGCGCACTGCTCTCCGTGGCATGGCATGGGCATGGCGGACAGCGGACTGTGCTGCTGTGGCTGCTGTGGCTGCAGTGCCTGCTGCCAGGGGTCTGCGGCGAACAGCTGCTGAGGCCGCTGCTGCTGCCAGCACAAACACCTGGTGCAATCCAGGAAGGGTTGGGTTAAGGGAGGGAAGCCGGACAAATCGATTTGGCGAAACTGTTCCAACCACAACAACAACACCCAGTCCCACCAGCCTCAACAACAGCCAGTCCGTCCTACCCTTCTGTTTCTAGTTCCCTCCCTTGCTCTCTCTCCTCCTGTCTCCCCTCTATCTCCCTCCCCCTCATCATTTGCCTACTCTCTCATCCTCTCATATTATCCCACATTCTTTTGCCCCCCTCCTTTCCCACCATCCCCATCCTGACTTCTCCCACCCCACTCAGCACCAGACGCCACCACACTTCACTCCACTTCACCGCATCCCAACTCACTTGAGTAAGCCAGAGAGCAGCAGAGGCGCCCTGGAATTGGGTCGAGTAGACCACCGAGTCTCCATATGTCGTCTGAGCACGTCTAATACCTCTCCCCCCCTCATCCCACCTCGTTTCACCGCATTAGGCCACATTGCACTGCATCCCGTCAGAAGTGAGCCAGAGAGCAGCAGAAGCGCCATGGAAGGGCAGCGAGTAGACCACAGAGACTCTGTACGTGCCGTCGAAAGCACCTAGCAGCTCACCCCACCTTCACTGCATTTCATCGCGTTAAACCCCACTTCACCGCATCAGTTCAACTCACTGGAGTGAGCCAGAGGGCAGCAGAGGCGCCCTGGAATGGGGGCGAGTAGACCACGGAGTCGCCATACTTGTCTTTGAGGGTATCTAAGATCTCCCCCTCCTGCCGGCCCTTGCTCAGCTCGTCACGAATCATCTGATGAGAAGGGATATTGCAGCATGCATGTATAGAGGGTGCGTGTACATCAGTGCATGTGCGCATGTGTGCATACTCGCCCTTGAGGGCATCTACGACCTTGCTCAACGCCTCACGGAGTATCTGAAGGGATGGGGTATGCGCAGGGGTGCGTGCATGCGTGCACATAGTGTCTGAGGAGGGCGTCTAACATCTCTCTCTCCTGCCGGCCCTTGCTCAACTCGTCACGAATCATCTGAAGGGATGGGGTCTGCGCACAGGCATGCTTGTGTGTGAGGGTGAGGGCATGCCAAGATGTATGCATGCCAGGATGCATGCATGCCGGGATGCATGCATGTCCGGGATGCATGCATGCCAGGGTGCATGCATGTCAGGGTGCATGCATGTCAGGGTGCATGCATGTCAGGGTGCATGCATGCCAAGATGTATGCATGCCAAGATGCATGCATGCCAGGATGCATGCATGCCGGGATGCATGCATGTCAGGGTGCATGCATGTCAGGGTGCATGCATGCCAAGATGTATGCATGCCAAGATGCATGCATGCCAGGATGCATGCATGCCAAGATGTATGGATACCAGGATGCATGCATGCCGGGATGCATGCATGCCAGGATGCATGCATGCCGGGATGCATGCATGTCCGGGATGCATGCATGCCAGGATGCATGCATGTCCGGGTGCATGCATGTCAGGGTGCATGCATGTCAGGGTGCATGCATGCCAAGATGTATGCATGCCAGGATGCATGCATGCCGGGATGCATGCATGTCAGGGTGCATGCATGTCAGGGTGCATGCATGTCAGGGACGCCTGAATGCTAGGGATGCATTACGAACGGGGGTGTTCATGGGAGTTCTCACACGCATGAGCAAACATGTGCGCGCATGCATGGGCCCGTGCCTGCTGCATACCTACAGCACTACGCTCAGACAATCACATGGAACGGACTCTGTCGATCATTCCCAATCTGACCTTGGGTGATTGAGCCGTGAAAATCATTCTCAACACCCATGCCCTCGCCTCAAGCTTTGCTGCTAAGCGCATGCTATTTTAAGAAGCAAACACACACACCTTACCTTGGTGGCTCAAACACCTTTGCGCCTAAATACAGCGGCATCAGCATTCGACCACTCAATGTTCTGGCGCCGGCACTTTACACACTCAACCTTGGTGCACGACACCCGTGCCTCGCCTCTAACCACGATACTACAAGCACCCTGCGTACCTGGCGCATAAAAACTGCAACATCAGCTTTGGAATCTTCAATGCTCTGGTGCCCGCACTCTTCTTTTGAGGCGCCTCAAGAATCTTCAATGCTCTGGTGCCCGCACTCTTTTTTTGAGGCGCCTCAAGAATCTTCAATGCTCTGGTGCCCGCACTCTTTTTTTGAGGCGCCTCAAGAATCTTCAATGCTCTGGTGCCCGCACTCTTTTTTTGAGGCGCCTCAAGAATCTTCAATGCTCTGGTGCCCGCACTCTTTTTTTGAGGCGCCTCAAGAATCTTCAATGCTCTGGTGCCCGCACTCTTTTTTTGAGGCGCCTCAAGAATCTTCAATGCTCTGGTGCCCGCACTCTGCGCGCATCTGACCTTAATGCTCAACACTCTCGCCCTCGCCTCTAATCATGACACCAAAAGCGCACTACACACCTTGCGCATAAAAACGGCAACGTCAGCGGTAGTCCTCAATGCTCTAGTGCCCTCACTCCACAAACCTAACCTTGCTGCTCAGCACCCTCGCGCTCGCCTCCAACTCCGGTGCTACGAGCATGCTATTGAACTGTTATAAGCACACTCGATCAAATCACGTACCTTTCGCATAAAAACAGCGACATCGGCGTTGGAGTCCTCGATGCTCTGGTGCCCGCACTCCACGCATCTGACCTTGGTGCTTAGCACCCGCGCCCTCGCCTCCAACTCCGCTGCTCGCAACCGCTGCTCCCGTGCTGCTGCCGCCGCCGCTGCTGCTGCTGCTGGTGGCGCTGCTTTTGCTGAATCTGCTGCAGCGTCCCCTGCCACTGGCAACGTCTCTGCCCCCTCTCTCAACCCAGCTGGGCCGGGTGATTCTAAAAGTGTTGACACAGCAGCAGAAGCAGCAGAAGCAGCAGAAGCAGCAGAAGCAGCAGAAGCAGCAGAGGCAGCAGCAGGAAGACGAGACGGAACAGGAGCGGGCCCGGCAGTGCTTTTACTGCCTGATGCCCCCATCCGCCTCGCTGTCTCGCAGTGATACGCGTCCCTCCCTTTCTCGTCTCTTTCCTTCTCACTTTCGTTTCGTCCTTCTCGTCGCTTTCCTCACGCACCCAAGCGACGCCCGCCTGCCGGTGCTCTATCAGTGGGCCCTCGCTCGAGGGACGACCGTCCGACCGTCGGCAAGGGAAGCAGCGCGACAGGCGCGAGCACGATTCAGCACCAAAGGGGTGACTATTGAGTGAGTCGACTCAAAAGGGGTGACTATTGAGTGAGTCGACTCAAAAGGGGTGACTATTGAGTGAGTCGACTCAAAAGCCGCTCGTGGGGCGACCGTCGGGAATGGAGGCAGCGGCGACAGGTGCTAATGATTCAGCACCAAAGCAGCAGCACCAGCAGCAGCGGGGTGGCTGGCTGGCTCAGCGCGCCCGTTCCACCGGGATGCTACTTAGTCGTTTCAGAGCCATCTCGGGAAAGCTACTACCTGGCTGGGCCACGCGGCCCGTTCCGAGAGCGGAGTCCCCCCTCCCAGCCGGCGCTTAGAGTCGTGGCGAAGACGAGCAGGTTCGCAACAATGACGCAGTATCTCGGTAACTCGGTAAGCAACAGTTCTGTGTGTCCGCGACAGATCTGACGGGGGCAGAACTCTTCCCGCCTTGCCTTCTCCACCCGCCGACCTCCCTGCGTCGAACCTTTATTCCTAGTTGGAAGCGATACCGTTTCGCACGGAACGCACTACGGAAGCGGCTGTCTTCTGAAACCGAGTCCGACGAACGAGACTAGAGAAAGGTGCAGCGTAGTTGTCGGAGTTGAATGCAGGAGTGGGCTCGCGCTCCTCGGGGGTGGGCTCACTGCCCCACGCCCCCCATGCCGGCTCAAGAGACACCACACACACCCCAGGCCAGCCGAGTGAGCTCGTGTACGCCATACCATGTGCTCCACCCTCTCGCTCTAGCAGCTACAAGTTTCGCGCAACTCTTCTACAGATACAGTGCCGTACAAACGTCAAATTATTTGGCAAATATGTTTAAGACAAAAATATCCCCTTTAGAGAAAAGGTTGCACCTAGAGCATGCCAGCGCAAAGAGCGCGCTCATCAAAATGGGAACGCCACATAAAGCGCCGCCAATAGGTTTTTAATTGTGATGCCTTCGGACTGAAGTCACCCAGCAGCTGCAGCAGTGTGCCCCACCTAAGTGGCAGAGGCAGCAGCAGCAGCAGCAGCAGCAGCAGCTTCAGGCTTCGGACGCCTCACCCAGAGCATGAGTGTGAGGACAGCATCAAAGCGAGTGAGCGCACCCTGCATGATGGCTCCACCTAAGAATCAGGCGTACACTGCAAAAGCCAACCAGACTCAACCGGATTTAGCAGCAGCTGGAGCTGCAGCAGCGCGCACGGCTGAAGTGGCCGAGGCGGCAGCAGCAGTAGGGTTTGGACGCCTCCAGCAATGCATGAGCTCTAGCATAGCAGCAGAGAGGGTGAGCGCCCCCGCTTGGTGCCGTATTACAAGAATCTGGATTGCAGAAATCAGCCAGATTTAGCAGCAGCTGCAGCAGCGCGCACGGCTGTAGCAGAGGCAGCAGCGGCGCTGGGGTTTGGGCGCCTCAGGGAGTGCAGGAGTGCGAGCATGGCTGCGAAGAGGGTGAGCGCCCCCGCCTGGTGGGCTGAGCCCAGGGAGACAGGCACGTACGTGAGCAGCGCTGATATGCCCAGGGTCACCTGGTGGGGGGAGATGGAGAGGGTTGAAGAGTAAGGAGGAGAGTGAGAGAGAGGATTTATAAGTAAGCATGGCCCAGAGCAGGGAGGCAGGGGCATGTATGTGAGCAGGGCTGATATGCCCAGGGTCACCTGGTGAGGGAGACGGTTGGAGAAAATTATTGGGAGGAAAACAAGAGGTTTCAGAAGAGGTGGCATGATGGAGGAGAGAAGAGCAGAAAGGGTCCAGGCTGCTTCACATTTTCCAGACCCCAAAACCTAATCCAAAAACCCTCTCCCCTACCTGCAGCGCCGTGATCCCAAGCGCAGTGTTGAGCAGCAGGGCAGAGCGCCGGTGGAGGGGCAGCTGCGCTGTACACCAGACCTCCTAACTCTAACCCTGGATCTGTGATCCCTCCCTCCACCAGCTGATGCCCCCCTACCTGCTGCGCTGTGATGCCGAGGGCCGTGTTGAGCAGCAGGGCGGAGCGCCGGTGGAGGGGCAGCTTGACTTGAGTGCAATGACCCTAATGCCTGCCTAGACCATACCCACCGTACTGTACCGCTTACCTGCAGTGCTGTGATGCCGAGGGCCGTGTTGAGCAGCAGGGCAGAGCGCGGGTGGAGGGGCAGCTTGCGAGCTGAGTACCACATGCCTGTCACTGCAGCAAGCGTGCTTATAGCGAGTACTCTGTGCTGGAACTGCAGGGAAGGATGGGAGGCAGTGAAGACGGAAACAAAAGGGGGAGGAAGGGATGGGGTTCGGTGGGGGAGAATTGATGTGGGGGGGGCAGTGGGGGGATGAGGGGGTGTTCAAATCTCTCATGATCAGGCCTGCTGTGTGGGCAGCCTATGGCTTCAAATGCAGGGGCTCCGAGAAGAAACAGTTGTATAAAAGAACAAGAGAGAGAGAAATCACACCTCTGAATGATTGTATTGCTAAACCACACCTCCTAATGAATACAAGAATAACATCAACAAGACTCTCCCACTTCCCCTCCACCCCGATGGCTGTTCCCAACTGCTGCTGCCAGGTAATAGTGATTTTACCTTAACACAGCCGTCCGTACCTACCAAGGTCACACGGAATAACAGAATCCACGTGAAGACGAGACACTCAAACCCACCTAAACATGATGCAATTCATGGCCGTGTTCTCACCTCCACTCGCCTGCACCATGGCAGTGTTCTCACCTCCACCCGCCTGCACCCACCTGCACCATGGCGGTGTTCTCACCTCCACCCGCCTGCACCCACCTGCACCAACCTGCACAGCTATAGCACCCACCTGGACCATGGCGGTGTTCTCAAAGAAGTTGCGGTGCAGCGGAGTCATCTCGAGGATCTCAGGCGGCACCCAGTGGTCGCCCATCAGGGGGAAGGTGTTGAACGCGCGGCCCTGATAGGCGGGAGGGTGGGGAAGAGATAACAGGGAAAGTAAAGGTGTGGAGGAGGCTTGAAGAACAAATTTGGGACACTAAGAACACCTGTGGCGGTACCCAGAGGCAGCCCATCAGGGGAAACGTGTTGAAGGCGCGGCTCTGCGGGAGAGGAGAGGGAGGACGGCCCGAGAAAAGGTAAGCAGGGTGATGGGGAGTGGCTGAAGAACCGCTCAACACTCTTGACTTGACACGTCGATAGCAGCACCCAGTGGCCGCCCATCAGGGGGCAGAGAGGTGTTGCAGGCGCGGCCCTGGGAAGGGAGGGTGGGGAAGAGAGAAGAGAGAAGAGAGAAGAGAGAAGAGAGAAGAGAGAAGAGAGAAGAGAGAAGAGAGAAGAGAGAAGAGAGAAGAGAAGAGAAGAGAGAAGAGAGAAGAGAGAAGAGAGAAGAGAGAAGAGAGAAGAGAGAAGAGAGAAGAGAGAAGAGAGAAGAGAGAAGGGAGAAGAGAGAAGAGAGGAGAGAAGAGAGAAGAGAGAAGAGAGAAGAGAGAAGGGAGAAGAGAGAAGAGAGAAGAGAGAAGAGAGAAGAGAGAAGAGAGAAGAGAGAAGAGAGAAGAGAGAAGAGAGAAGAGAGAAGAGAGAAGAGAGAAGGGAGAAGAGAGAAGGGAGAAGAGAAGGGTGCGGAGGAGGCTGTAAGGAACACAGTAAGGACATGGGGAACACCTTTGGCAGCACCCAGCGGTTGCCCCTGAGGGGAAGACTTTTGAGTCACCTTTGGCAGCACCCAGCGGTTGCCCCTGAGGGGAAGACTTTTGAGTCACCTTTGGCAGCACCCAGCGGTTGCCCCTGAGGGGAAGACTTTTGAGTCACCTTTGGCAGCACCCAGCGGTTGCCCCTGAGGGGAAGACTTTTGAGTCACCTTTGGCAGCACCCAGCGGTTGCCCCTGAGGGGAAGGCTGATGCACGCACGGCCCTAACGGAGAGAGGAGAGGAAGGTGAGGGATGGGTGAGGGGGGTCGGGGAGACGAGAGAAGGGCGGGGAGAAGAGAGAAGGGCGGGGAGAAGAGAGAAGGGCGGGGAGAAGAGAGAAGGGCGGGGAGAAGAGAGAAGGGCGGGGAGAAGAGAGAAGGGCGGGGAGAAGAGAGAAGGGCAGGGAGAAGAGAGAAGGGCGGGGAGAAGAGAGAAGGGCGGGGAGAAGAGAGAAGGGCGGGGAGAAGAGAGAAGGGCGGGGAGAAGAGAGAAGGGCGGGGAGAAGAGAGAAGGGCGGGGAGAAGAGAGAAGGGCGGGGAGAAGAGAGAAGGGCGGGGAGAAGAGAGAAGGGCGGGGAGAAGAGAGAAGGGCGGGGAGAAGAGAGAAGGGCGGGGAGAAGAGAGAAGGGCGGGAGAAGAGAGAAGGGCGGGGAGAAGAGAGAAGGGCGGGGAGAAGAGAGAAGGGCGGGGAGAAGAGAGAAGGGCGGGGAGAAGAGAGAAGGGCGGGGAGAAGAGAGAAGGGCGGGGAGAAGAGAGAAGGGCGGGGAGAAGAGAGAAGGGCGGGGAGAAGAGAGAAGGGCGGGGAGAAGAGAGAAGGGCGGGGAGAAGAGAGAAGGGCGGGGAGAAGAGACCAAGTGGGACGAGAGGAGACCAAGTGGGACGAGAGGAGACCAAGTGGGACGAGAGGGGAGTGAGTGACAGGATGGCAGGAGAAGAGAAGGGGAGGGGGGACGGGGGATGGCATAACGGAGGCTCTAAAGGCCACCCACAGCATCGTTGCCAGCAACGAACGTTCCTGGAAAGGCAGTGACTCCTAACAGCGGGATGACTGGATGGAAAGATGACTACCACATGCACTCAAACGCACTCACAGAAGCAAGAGCACTCACAGCACCAAGAGCACTCACAGAAGCAAGAGCACTCACAGCATCGTTGCCGGCTACAAACGCCCCTGAGAAGGCAGTGACTCCTAGCAGCATGGCCACTGGGTGCACCAAGGGCCGCAGCTTAGCTGCCGCTAGCAGTTGAGCAGGTGCTAAGGCTGATGGGTTGGGGTACAGCACGTTCAACGCCGTCCAAAATATGCCTGATACGGGGGGGGGTGGGGGGGGAAGAGAGACATGAGGGGAGAGGAGGCAGGGACCCCAAAGGCAGAGGGTGCACTAAGCGACGCAGATTAGACACTGCTGACAGCCGAGCGGGAGCTGTGGCAGGAGGTTTGGCGGATTGCACGTTGAATGCCGTCCAGAGCATGCCTGAAGGGAGGGAACGGGAGCATGCGAGGCTGTGAGTGGCACCGAGCATGCGAGGCTGTGAGTGTGATTGGCAAGGACGGGCGAGTGTGCTGGGCACAGGGGAGGCATAGAGTTGATTGAATCTGATTGAATCCGCATGCACAGTGATGATGGTGCACTGGCAATAGAAGGGCACCAAGCAGCGAGTGCCAAAGTCACCTGAGAAAATGACGAAAGCGGACGTCAGGTGAGCAGCCAGGCGGTAGGGGCTGACTCGAGGCACGGCATGGGGGTTAGCTGGCTCCTGGCACACAGAGAGGGGTGGAAGGGGTTAGGGTGGGGGGAGGGTTGGGAGAGGGTGGGGAGAGGGTGGGGAGAGGGTGACGAAAGCTGCCTCCTGGGGGTGCAGGGCAAGGGGCGCCGGCTGGGAGGGGCGTAAGGGGTGTCGGCGGGGAGAGAGGCAGAAGGAGCAAATAGCTTGAGTGAGTAGCCAGGCGGTAGGGGCTGACTCAAGAAAGGCGTGGAGGTAGGAGGGCTCCTGACAGGGAGCAGGGAGGGGCGAAACATGGGGAGAGGGGTGGCGAGAGCGAATAGAATCAGGTGACCCGGAGACCGAATAGGAAATAGAATCACAGAAGGGCCCCTAATTCCTTCCCCGACCATGCCTTCACCCTCCCCTCTCCAGCATTCCCCCTTCACTCTTCTCACCTCCCCTCCACACCGCATCTGCACCGTTCATCAACCAATTTGCCCCTGCCAAGCACCCAAATTGGTCCTCTGTATGGCGGAAAAGAAGGGTACAGTCAAGGCACCCTCTTCTAGACCCATCCTTCCGCATCTCACGCTTAATCGCATTTCTCCTACTATCTCACCATGAGTCCAGACTCCACCACCCACCACCTAATCCGCCCCTGCGCTTCAGCACTAACATCTCCACGCCCTCCCTTTTGATTCATCCCCTCTCTGAACCCCTCCGCGCACCTTCCCTCCCACCATCTCCCCCTCCTCATCTCACCTCAAGCCCCGACTTCACCATCCACCACCCAATCAGCCCCCGCGCTCTAAGCGCTCTAAGCGCTCTAAGCGCTCTCCAGCCTCCACCTTGCGCTCATCTCACAAACCTTGACCCTCCCATCCCATCCCCCTCATCTAACCTCGACCCCCGACTTCACCATCCACCACCCGATCAGCCCCACCACCCGATCAGCCCCCTGCGAATCACACGCTTCCACACCTCCCTGTCTTCACCTCTCGCCTACATCCCCTCCCACTGCCTCACCTGCTCACCTCGCCTCGATCCCCGACTTCACCATCCACCGACCAATCAGACCCTGCGCCCCTCCCAGGCCGAACGGCACCAGTGGTGCACCTTTGCCACCTTCCACCCTGAGCGTGCACCCCCCTCTTCCCACCTGCCACCCTCATCTCACCTCCAGTCCAAAAATAACCACTCACCAGCCAATCAGCCCCTGCGTTCCTCCCAGGCCGAACAGCACATGGAGTCACACCCTCCATCTCACATGCTGCGTTGCCCTCTCCCTATCTCCCATGCCGTCATTGGCCTCGTCCCCTCCCCCCCATCTCACCTCCAGCCCCGACTTCACCATCCACCAGCCAATCAGCCCCTGCGCCCCTCCCAGGCCGAACAGCACGGCGCAGCGGGTGGCGAGCTTTGTCTTGATGTAGCCACGGGCGGCGAAGTAAGCGGCGGGGAAGAGGAAGAGGAGGCCGAGGGCCCGCCCCCACATGCGGTGGCCGTACTCCATCCAGTAGATGAACTTGAACTCGTCCACATCCATCTTGCTATTCACTCTGGACAAGAGGGAGAGGAAGAGGGAGAGGAAGGGGGAGAGGAAGAGGGAGAGGAAGGGGGAGAGGAAGAGGGAGAGGAAGAGGGAGAGGAAGAGGGAGAGGAAGAGGGAGAGGAAGGGGGAGAGGAAGAGGGAGAGGAAGAGGGAGAGGCAGAGGGAGAGGCAGAGGGAGAGGAAGAGGGAGAGGAAGAGGGAGAGGAAGAGGGAGAGGAAGAGGGAGAGGAAGAGGGAGAGGCAGAGGGAGAGGAAGAGGGAGAGGAAGAGGGAGAGGAAGAGGGAGAGGAAGAGGGAGAGGAAGAGGGAGAGGAAGGGGGAGAGGAAGAGGGAGAGGCAGAGGGAGAGGCAGAGGGAGAGGAAGAGGGAGAGGAAGAGGGAGAGGAAGAGGGAGAGGAAGGGGGAGAGGACGAGGGAGAGGCAGAGGGAGAGGCAGAGGGAGAGGAAGAGGGAGAGGAAGAGGGAGAGGAAGAGGGAGAGGAAGAGGGAGAGGAAGAGGGAGAGGAAGGGGGAGAGGAAGAGGGAGAGGAAGAGGGAGAGGAAGAGGGAGAGGCAGAGGGAGAGGCAGAGGGAGAGGAAGAGGGAGAGGAAGAGGGAGAGGAAGAGGGAGAGGAAGAGGGAGAGGAAGAGGGAGAGGAAGGGGGAGAGGAAGAGGGAGAGGCAGAGGGAGAGGCAGAGGGAGAGGAAGAGGGAGAGGAAGAGGGAGAGGAAGAGGGAGAGGAAGAGGGAGAGGAAGAGGGAGAGGAAGGGGGAGAGGAAGAGGGAGAGGAAGAGGGAGGGCACTTGCTGTGAGGTGCAAAAGACAACCTGAGCGCATCTACTGACAAGTTGGTATAAAGGATGGAGTGCGCCCAGTGCCCATCACATGTGGTGTGGGGTCAACGCTGCGGGCACGGAGGGGAGAGTATGTAGTGGAGGCAGGGAATGAGTTGAGTGTTGACCCCCCCAAATGCACTTGAGCTGAGCTCATAGTGCTGTTGGCCGCCTACTCCCCTCAAAACTTCCACATGGACCCAACCGCGTGAGTGCTTTTGAGGCGCCTCAAGAGCTCTTCCAGACAGACCCAACCGCGTGAGCCGTGTTATAACCCCCAGCACCACCAGCGCCCACACCCACGCCGCACACCCTAGCAACCAATACAGTAGCAGCAGCAGCAGCAGCAGCAGCAGCAGCAGCAGCAGCACGCACCGTCTGAACTCAGGAGACTGCTTGTACTTGTCAAATTCCTCTTGCCACTCCTCCTCACTCCTGGGCGCCTGCTCGCCTTGGAACTTCCAGTCGGTCATCGACAGCCCCGAGCGCGTGAGGCGGGTGATCCCCCCCAGCACCACCAGCGCCCACACCCACGCCGCGCACCCCAGCAGCCACCCCCCCACCGCCCTCTCCGCTGCTGCTCCCCCCGCCACTAGCACGTGCTCGCCCGCCGCCGCTGCTGCTGCTGCTGACGTGGCGGATGGGGATGGTGACGTGGCGGAGGTGGTGGCTGCTGTTGCTGCTGGAGTGGGGGCTGGGTTCGCTGCAGGTGGCGTTGCTGAGGGTGCTGACGTGGCGGAGGAGGTGTGGAGGGAACGCAGTGAATTGGCTGGGGAAGAGAGGGAGGAGGAGGGGGATGGCTGGAGTGCTGCAGTGAGGGCAGGAGACATTTTGGGAGAGATTCCGCGAAGCATGCTATTGGTTGCTCGCATGTGCGGGCTGCTGCTATTGATGCTTTGCTGTATCGCATGATGACGTGGCACAAGCGCGCTGAATCCACGTGTCAGTGACAGTGCAGACAGGCTACTGCTGACTTGACTCGCGTTGACTGGCGTTGACCCGCCTGGCTTGCTTTGGGCGGCACTGAACGCAGTGGGGCCGCATGCTGAGCTGGCGCTTGTCGAAGCGTCTGCACACGTGGCAGCATGATATTGGCTTGACTGCGTCGCTAGCAGAGAGGTTGCGTCGGAGGGTACGGATGGGAATGACGTGGCATTGGCTGACGTGGCAGGGTGGGAGAGAGGGGGACGTGGCAGGGAGAGGCGCGACAGCGAGCAGACACGTGTGCTGATGATCGCGGCGGAGCGACGCTGCCACATGGCGTGATGTGATTGAACGAGCGATGAGTTGATTCGAAATAAAACGCGCGACGAAAGAAGGCGCAGGCGGAAAGTCCCGAGCGGAAGGGTGAAGGCGGAAGGGCGCAGGCGGAAACGTGCAGGCGGAAGGGTGACGGCGGAGGGTACGGCGGAAAGGCGGAGCGGATGTGAGAAAGACGATGGAAGACTCGCCGAAGGCGCTCACAGGCGGAATGGCATTGCGGAGACGAGATCGCACGAGATCGCACGAGTCCGCAGGAGATGCGCGACGACTTGGCCAGGAAGGAGCCCGTCTCAGCAAAACCTCATGGCGGTGGTACGGCCACAAGGTCGAAACGAATGCGTACGCTTTACAGAGTGCACCGCTGAAGTTGCAAGAGCGAGGGGAGCGCGATGTAGGGGTCGAGGTCCCCCTGTGACGTGGAGATCTCCGCTTCCTTGCCGCAGAAGCTTCGTCTAGGACTCGTTTGCAGCTGACCCAACTGCGTACAGTTTGATATGCTCATCGATTGGATATGTCAAATTGCTAAACGCTGCAACCATACACTTCCGGCTCACAACATTGCATCTCAACTGGAAATAGGAGAATAACGTTAACATTATATTTTATCCTATGCTGAAATATTTGCATCGTTGTGTGGGGAGATAGTAGAAGTTGAGTTTTGGAAGGGGAAAGGCAACGACTTCTACATTTTAAACATTGTACAAAACGAAACATTGCATGTTTATCGAATTAATACACTGCTGTACAGATCCGTTACAGTACCTCCACTCCCACCAGCCTGTCTTTTCTGCCGCGAGTAACGGCACTTGTCCATATCTGCCTAGAGATGTACGGATGCTCCAAGCATCGTGCTTGGACTATCGTGTAGACAGAGACAGCCAAGTAGATACCAGATCTACTATTTGGTCCTAATTTTACGTTTCACACTTGGCACTCCCGAACGAGAAACTGATCGTTCAGTACAGTGCAGAGCAAGTCTGCATTTTCGAGCGCGGCAAGGTTTGGGTTGGAATCCTCGAAGATCATTCTCTACAACAGTAGTTCCTAACACTGTATTAGAATGCTGTACCTTCCAAGAGTTGCTTGAGTCCTGATACGCATACACTATCTGTATTCAGTTCAAATCACCTCCGACGAGCACAGACCTGACCACTGGAGGGTACGGGCCAGGAGGAGTGAAACCCAAATTGGAAACCCTAGAAGGCTAGCCTCTCGCTTTGGCCTACTCAGTGAACATTCCCTCCCTTCCACACCCACCAGCCCGATACGGATAAGGGCAGGATGCATCAAAATGGGACCGCTGATTTCGGCACACGATGTGTACAGTTTGTGATCGGATTCTGTTCGGCCAGCTCCAGATTTGGGGGTTTCGCGGTACAGTACCCCATTTTGGAACGATCACGCCGCGTTGTTCTACAGTACTAAGGGTCTCTAGCAGCGTACTGTTTACTTCTACAGAACGAAGCGCCTGCCGATAAAAAGGACAGCGTCATTGAATTTCCGGATTTCCTTAGGTTCAGCTCGGTTGGTTGCATGCTCGACGCGGTGCAACAGATCGCAGTGCGGTGGGTTTCGCCGAACCGCCACTTGGGACACGATCGCTCTCGAAGAGTGCCCTTGGAGTGGCAGAATCGCCTCGCCACGTTCGCCTCGCCGAAACCTCTCTGTCACCAGAGGTCAGTGGGGGCGGAAAAGTGTTCAAAACTTGTTCAGTCCGACTGAGGAGTCCCCAGTGGGTCAGGGTGATTCAAACTTTGAGCTGAAGAGTCTTCAGTCCTACGAGAGTCCCATCATGGGGCTGCTCCTTGTGCTCGTGGTGGTGCTGCTAACAGGTGAGCGCTACTAGGCAACGGAAGCACAGTTTCACAGGGCCGGCGCTCGCCGTGGTGTTCTCATCCACTCAGTGCGCAAGGTCTATAGGGCGTCTCACGCGTGTAGGCTCGCTACAGGCCGGCATTTGGTTTGGTTCCGGCCTCTACCATTGGCTTACACTCTCGTACTGAACGGTCGGTTGACCCACCCAACCCGGGGTTGTTCTCGTCCCAAGCTGGATCGCGCGCTCTCTGAGAATTGACTTTTGTAGCGAAACTCTGAGGGCTTTAGTAAGCGGGCTTTTCACGCCACGCAAGCGGTTACTGACTTGCACCGTGCGTGCGCGCTGCTGTCCGCGCTCTGCAGGTTCCCTGGACTCTCCGTGGAGCAACCGCCCTCCGGTCGCGGTGAGTACACCTCCTTTTCGCTTGCTTCCTTATAACGAAAAGGAAATACAGACGTGAAAATTGATTTAATTGGCACCAACGTTGGCTTCAGGTGGGCCTTTCTATCTATCACACAAGGGAGGCAGTTCATGCTGATGTGGAAGTAGGCCTTGCTGACCAAGATCAGACCAAGCTGACGTGTCACCTTTTTGTGCGTAGGATTGTCGGACCTTCATGTCCTTGTGCCTTGTTCTTGTCCTCTCCCTTATCCCCTCTCCCTTATCCCCTCTCCCTTATCCCCTCTCCCTTATCCCCTCTCCCTTATCCCCTCTCCCTTATCCCCTCTCCCTTATCCCCTCTCCCTTATCCCCTCTCCCTTATCCCCTCTCCCTTTGTGATTTCTTCTTGTCCTGTTCCCTGTTCGTCTCCCCTGGGTCCCTCTCCAATGTTCCACCTCCCATGCTATCTCCACCGTGCACCCTATGCCCCCCCTTGCTCTCTCCCTTGCTCCCCCTCCCCCCCTATCCCCCTCCCCTTTCTGTCTCCCGTGTTCCACCCCTGTGCAGCAAGCTGCCACGTATGTGGTGGGTGGGAGCAAGGGCTGGCCAGCAGTCAGCACCTGGAGGAATCCGGGTGTGCAAGCGAGAGACGTGCTGGGTAAGCGGGCCTCCCTGCATGATCTTTCTGCGTGCCTTTCAAACTGGGCTCAGTTGCGCAACTGCTCCTCCTCCCCCTTGCTTGCACCATCTCGCATTGTTGGGATGGGCGTACCTACCAAGTTACTGAATGTTACGGTTACACTTGTTTCACCTTGCTGGGTTAGGAAAGCACAGCAGAATTGACATCCCCTTTTGTGTTTCTTCTCTTGACTGCAGTTTTCAAATGGAAGGGCACCACTAGCCTTGGAGCGAGGTTGCTTGGTCGTTTGGGCAAGAAGCACAGCGTTGCAATGGCGGCTTCCCAGGAGGATTTCAAGGCGTGCAATACCAAGAAGGTCGACCGCATGATAGTGAAGCCAAGGAGGAAGGCCAAGAAGTCATTTATTCTTGACTTTTCTGACTACTATTTCTTCAGTACGACGGGCAAGGATTGCGCCCAGGGTATGAAAATAACCATTAATACTTGATTAGCACTACTACTAAACCATGGTAGTGAGATAGGCATGTGACCCATTAACATAGTTGTAAGGTAGCTCCTAATTGCTTTGGTTTGAATGAATGACTTATCTATGAGTCCTCTACTACATGAGGTGGGTTCAGGTGTACCTTTTCGTCTAAGCAAAGCCACCTTAGTAAACGCCACTGAAGTCCTAATCGCGTCTAGTGACAGCAACAACTGCCGCGCCAAGCATCGAGAAATTGCGGAAGCCCCGCTATTAGGGGGCAGAGCCGAGCAGCGCAGAGCAACGGAGAGCAGAGCAGAGCGGAGGGCGGGAGAGACGGAGCGAGCAGGTACTATGTGTGGCTCAAGGTCAAAGCCACTAGCTTAGCATAATAAGGCCCTCGAACATTTGATCCACTGGCACTGGTTCGTCGATCGTGCGAGGCTGAACGCGCAGAGTGTCGAGTCGCCCTCAGGATGATCTTAACGCTCCGCGCCGCTAATCCCTAACACTGCTAGATTGATTGCACCCTATTCCTAGCTAGTAGACGCGCTTACAACAGACCCGCAGACTACAGCATTAGCAACGGGCCGGTACTAGGCAGTGCCAGCGGTGCTACCAGGTATTTCAGCGGTGCAGGTCGTGCCAGCTGGCATGGAGACTGCGCCATCCCGCGGAGCCATGCCTCCCCCTCGCGCTCGCGCCGATGCCACGCCTCTCCCTTCCTCCCCCCCCGCTCCCTCCGCTCCCCCCGCTGCTTCCGCGTCTTCCGCTCCTTCCTCTCCTTTCGAGGCGATGCCTCCGCCTCCGGCGCGGCCCAAGGGGAAAGTGAAAGCGGAAGCGGGAAGGGCGGAAGGGGAGACTCCGGTGCTGAGGAGCGGAGAGGGGGAAAGCGGGGAAGGGGACACGCGGAAGGTTGTCCGCAGCAGAGGTGCGACTGAGGGGGAAAACCCCCGCGGAAGCGCAGCTGAGGGGGAAAGTACTGGCGGAAGCGGCGGAAATTCTCATGAGATCAGGGGGGAACCGACAGAAGGTGGGAAGCCGGGCAGAGAAACGGAAGGGGCAGATCCGCACTTAGCTAAACGTCTGGAAGCCAAGAGTTCAGCAGATAAGAGTTTGGAGCCGGCAGACAAAGAAATAGGAATCGCTACCCCAAATATTACGGCAGCCAGGGAAGGGGAAGGTGGAGATGAGAAGGCGGGGAAGGAAAGCAAGGGTGCTGCTAACAGTGGTGACAGTGGCGGTGGTGCTGCTAACGGTGGTGGCAATGTTGCGGGTGACAGTAGTGGGGGTGATGATAGGGGAGGAGGCAGTAAGGGATCGAGTGCAGGCAGAGGCAGCAGTGGTGGCAGCAGCAGCGGCAGCAGCGGCAGAGCGCCGTATTCCATCCCTGATTGGGCGGCAGTTCCCAAGGTGCCGTTCCGAGTGGAGGTGGTGAAGGAGGGCGCCGTCGCTGAGGAGATGGACGTGTGAGTGGCGGGGATGGTGTGAGAGGACGGATGGTGATCATGATGGGACGGTGGTGGTGATGTGTGAGTCGCTGTCATGTCATGGGTGCGTTGACTGCAGGTGGTGAGGTGAGGGGGGGAAACAGTCGCTGAGGAGATGGACGGGTGAGTGGTGGTGAGGCGTGAGTTATGGTGGTGTGAGTGGTGGGGATGGTGATGGTGATGGGGATGGTGACGGTGAGGCGATGGTGGTGATGAGAGCAAGGACGAGCGCAAGCATTCATCAAGGCTTCACCCTCCTCTCGAGTCCCCTCCATGCATCTCCGCCAAGAGTGGTACATGTTTGGCCACATTGATTGATCCCTGCGACAAAAAAAGATGCATCTATCCCCCCCACACCGCTCCCTCTCCTCCCCTCCCGTCCCCTCCCCCCCACACAGCTCCGCCAAGTGTGCTGTGCGAACTTGTTTGCCCATCCCTCTCCCCCCTCCCCCCCCCCCCCCCCCCCCGCCTCCCCACTCTTTCTCCCCAGGTCCGCCAAGAGTGGTACATGTTTGGCCGCATTGATTGGCCCCTGCGCGCACATGGATGCTTCTAAAGCCCACATTCCCCTCCCCTCCCCTCCCCTCCCCTCCCCTCCCCTCCCCCCCCTCCCCTCCTCTCCCCTCCCCTCCCCTCCCCTCCCCTACCCTCCACGCAGGTCCGCCAAGAGCGCGTACATGTTTGGCCGCATTGACTGCTGCGACTTCATGCTGCAGCATCCCTCCATCTCCAGATACCATGCTGGTAACGTGATAGTGGCGTGATGTGATAGTAACGTCGTGGTAACACACATAATGGTGGCGTGAAATTAGCATGATGGCACCATGGGATGGGTGCAGTGGCCGCTGTGGCTTCATGCTGCAACACCCCTGCATCCACCCGCAGATACCATGCTGGTAACGAGGTGGTTATAGAAACTTTCTGGTAATGAGGTGGTTATAGAAACTTTCTGGTAATGAGGTGGTTATAGAAACTTTCTGGTAATGAGGTGGTTATAGAAACTTTCTGGTAATAAGGTGGTTATAGAAACTTTCTGGTAATGAGGTGGTTATAGAAACTTTCTGGTAATGAGGTGGTTATAGAAACTTTCTGGTAATGAGGTGGTTATAGAAACTTTCTGGTAATGGGGTGGTTATAGAAACTTTCTGGTAATGAGGTGGTTATAGAAACTTTCTGGTAATGGGGTGGTTATAGAAACTTTCTGGTAATGAGGTGGTTATAGAAACTTTCTGGTAATGAGGTGGTTATAGAAACTTTCTGGTAATGGGGTGGTTATAGAAACTTTCTGGTAATGAGGTGGTTATAGAAACTTTCTCGTAATGAGGTGGTAACATGATGGTCATTACGTGGTGGTAACATGGTCATTACGTGGTGCTGACATGGCCATTACGTGGTGGTGACATGGTCACTACGTGGTGGTGACATGGTCATTACGTGGTGGTGACATGGTCATTACGTGGTGGTGACATGGTCATTACGTGGTGGTGACATGGTCATTACGTGGTGGTGACATGGTCATTACGTGGTGGTGACATGGTCATTACGTGGTGGTAACATGGTCATTACGTGGTGGTGACATGATCATTACGTGGTGGTGACATGGTCATTACGTGGTGGTGACATGGTCATTACGTGGTGGTAACATGGTCATTACGTGGTGGTGACATGGTCATTACGTGGTGGTGACATGGTTATTACGTGGTGGTGACATGGTCATTACGTGGTGGTGACATGGTCATTACGTGGTGGTGACATGGTCATTACGTGGTGGTGACATGATCATTACGTGGTGGTAACATGGTCATTACGTGGTGGTGACATGGTCATTACGTGGTGGTAACATGGTCATTACGTGGTGGTGACATGGTCATTACGTGGTGGTAACATGGTCATTACGTGGTGGTGACATGGTCATTACGTGGTGGTGACATGGTCATTACGTGGTGGTGACATGGTCATTACGTGGTGGTAACATGGTCATTACGTGGTGGTGACATGATCATTACGTGGTGGTGACATGGTCATTACGTGGTGGTGACATGGTCATTACGTGGTGGTAACATGGTCATTACGTGGTGGTGACATGGTCATTACGTGGTGGTGACATGGTTATTACGTGGTGGTGACATGGTCATTACGTGGTGGTGACATGGTCATTACGTGGTGGTGACATGGTCATTACGTGGTGGTGACATGATCATTACGTGGTGGTAACATGGTCATTACGTGGTGGTGACATGGTCATTACGTGGTGGTAACATGGTCATTACGTGGTGGTGACATGGTCATTACGTGGTGGTAACATGGTCATTACGTGGTGGTGACATGGTCATTACGTGGTGGTGACATGGTCATTACGTGGTGGTGACATGATCATTACGTGGTGGTAACATGGTCATTACGTGGTGGTGACATGGTCATTACGTGGTGGTAACATGGTCATTACGTGGTGGTGACATGGTCATTACGTGGTGGTAACATGGTCATTACGTGGTGGTGACATGGTCATTACGTGGTGGTGACATGGTCATTACGTGGTGGTGACATGGTCATTACGTGGTGGTGACATGGTCATTACGTGGTGGTAACATGGTCATTACGTGGTGGTGACATGGTCATTACGTGGTGGTGACATGGTCATTACGTGGTGGTGACATGGTCATTACGTGGTGGTAACATGGTCATTACGTGGTGGTGACATGGTCATTACGTGGTGGTGACATGGTCATTACGTGGTGGTAACATGGTCATTACGTGGTGGTAACATGGTCATTACGTGGTGGTGACATGGTCATTACGTGGTGGTGACATGGTCATTACGTGGTGGTGACATGATCATTACGTGGTGGTGACATGGTCATTACGTGGTGGTGACATGGTCATTACGTGGTGGTAACATGATCATTACGTGGTGGTAACATGGTCATTACGTGGTGGTGACATGGTCATTACGTGGTGGTGACATGGTCATTACGTGGTGGTGACATGGTAATTACGTGGTGGTGACATGGTCATTACGTGGTGGTAACATGGTCATTACGTGGTGGTAACATGGTCATTACGTGGTGGTAACATGGTCATTACGTGGTGGTGACATGGTCATTACGTGGTGGTGACATGGTCATTACGTGGTGGTGACATGGTCATTACGTGGTGGTGACATGGTCATTACGTGGTGGTGACATGGTCATTACGTGGTGGTGACATGGTCATTACGTGGTGGTGACATGGTCATTACGTGGTGGTGACATGGTCATTACGTGGTGGTGACATGGTCATTACGTGGTGGTGACATGATCATTACGTGGTGGTAACATGGTCATTACGTGGTGGTGACATGGTCATTACGTGGTGGTGACATGGTCATTACGTGGTGGTAACATGGTCATTACGTGGTGGTGACATGGTCATTACGTGGTGGTAACATGGTCATTACGTGGTGGTGACATGGTCATTACGTGGTGGTGACATGGTCATTACGTGGTGGTGACATGGTCATTACGTGGTGGTAACATGGTCATTACGTGGTGGTGACATGGTCATTACGTGGTGGTGACATGGTCATTACGTGGTGGTGACATGGTCATTACGTGGTGGTGACATGGTCATTACGTGGTGGTGACATGGTCATTACGTGGTGGTGACATGGTCATTACGTGGTGGTAACATGGTCATTACGTGGTGGTGACATGATCATTACGTGGTGGTGACGTGGTCATTACGTGGTGGTGACATGGTCATTACGTGGTGGTAACATGGTCATTACGTGGTGGTGACATGGTCATTACGTGGTGGTGACATGGTCATTACGTGGTGGTGACATGATCATTACGTGGTGGTAACATGGTCATTACGTGGTGGTGACATGGTCATTACGTGGTGGTAACATGGTCATTACGTGGTGGTGACATGGTCATTACGTGGTGGTAACATGGTCATTACGTGGTGGTGACATGGTCATTACGTGGTGGTGACATGGTCATTACGTGGTGGTGACATGGTCATTACGTGGTGGTGACATGGTCATTACGTGGTGGTAACATGGTCATTACGTGGTGGTGACATGGTCATTACGTGGTGGTGACATGGTCATTACGTGGTGGTGACATGGTCATTACGTGGTGGTAACATGGTCATTACGTGGTGGTGACATGGTCATTACGTGGTGGTGACATGGTCATTACGTGGTGGTAACATGGTCATTACGTGGTGGTGACATGGTCATTACGTGGTGGTGACATGGTCATTACGTGGTGGTGACATGATCATTACGTGGTGGTAACATGGTCATTACGTGGTGGTGACATGGTCATTACGTGGTGGTAACATGGTCATTACGTGGTGGTGACATGGTCATTACGTGGTGGTGACATGGTCATTACGTGGTGGTGACATGGTCATTACGTGGTGGTAACATGGTCATTACGTGGTGGTGACATGGTCATTACGTGGTGGTAACATGGTCATTACGTGGTGGTGACATGGTCATTACGTGGTGGTAACATGCTCATTACGTGGTGGTGACATGGTCATTACGTGGTGGTAACATGGTCATTACGTGGTGGTGACATGGTCATTACGTGGTGGTAACATGGTCATTACGTGGTGGTGACATGGTCATTACGTGGTGGTAACATGGTCATAACGTGGTGGTGACATGGTCATTACGTGGTGGTGACATGGTCATTACGTGGTGGTGACATGGTCATTACGTGGTGGTGACATGGTCATTACGTGGTGGTGACATGGTCATTACGTGGTGGTGACATGGTCATTACGTGGTGGTGACATGGTCATTACGTGGTGGTGACATGATCATTACGTGGTGGTAACATGGTCATTACGTGGTGGTGACATGGTCATTACGTGGTGGTAACATGGTCATTACGTGGTGGTGACATGGTCATTACGTGGTGGTGACATGGTCATTACGTGGTGGTAACATGGTCATTACGTGGTGGTGACATGGTCATTACGTGGTGGTAACATGGTCATTACGTGGTGGTGACATGGTCATTACGTGGTGGTAACATGCTCATTACGTGGTGGTGACATGGTCATTACCTAAGTTGGTACCTTACGTGACTTAAGCCCACGTACACGTAAAGTACGCGTAACTTTACGTGTACGTTACGTTACGCGTACGTTACGTGTACGTCGCCGGGCAGGCCTCAAAAAAATTTCCCGGGCAAAAATTTCTCCCTAAGAAAACGCGATTTGCAGCTACTACTAAGCTGTTCAGGGCTAAGCTACGGCTGATGCCTATGCTTCGCACTGATCCACCCCATCAATCTAAGTCGCAACTTAATTCGTTGCGCTGATAGTATCCGCGCTCCTCATAGTCGTAAGATGCTACGTAGTCTAGACTTGATTGTCGCTGGAGTAAGGTTAGCGATTGGCATTCGTCGACAGGGGAAGGAGAAACACATGTCGAGGGGGGTTGGGTTGGGTCAGGTAGGGGTTGTTCATTGGCTGGTTGGATTGCCGGCGCACCAAATTTGACGCGCACCAGCGACGAGATTTCGCGCATGCGGAATTTCGCCAAACAATTTTGTACTTTCGTCGCACCGCACTCGTGATAATCTTCTACTGTACTAGAAGATCAGAACCTACAAACGTTTTTACAAAAAGTCGACTTTCCATCCCCCCTCATTTTTTCCCTTGGGCAGCCTAAAAAGTTTTTGGCTGCCCGTACATACAGGCCAAAAACCAGAATCGCGTAAACGTACGTAAACGTAAACGTACACGTACGTAAACGTAACGTAAGGAACCAACTTAGGTCATTACGTGGTGGTGACATGGTCATTACGTGGTGGTAACATGATCATTACGTGGTGGTAACATGGTCATTACGTGGTGGTGACATGGTCATTACGTGGTGGTGACATGGTCATTACGTGGTGGTGACATGGTAATTACGTGGTGGTGACATGGTCATTACGTGGTGGTAACATGGTCATTACGTGGTGGTAACATGGTCATTACGTGGTGGTAACATGGTCATTACGTGGTGGTGACATGGTCATTACGTGGTGGTGACATGGCCATTACGTGGTGGTGACATGGTCATTACGTGGTGGTGACATGGTCATTACGTGGTGGTAACATGGCCATTACGTGGTGGTAACATGGTCATTACGTGGTGGTGACATGGTCATTACGTGATGGTGACATGGTCATTACGTGGTGGTAACATGGTCATTACGTGGTGGTGACATGGTCATTACGTGGTGGTGACATGGTCATTACGTGGTGGTGACATGGTCATTACGTGGTGGTAACATGGGCATTACGTGGTGGTGACATGGTCATTACGTGGTGGTGACATGGTCATTACGTGGTGGTGACATGGTCATTACGTGGTGGTAACATGGTCATTACGTGGTGGTGACATGGTCATAACGTGGTGGTGACATGGTCATTACGTGGTGGTGACATGATCATTACGTGGTGGTAACATGGTCATTACGTGGTGGTGACATGGTCATTACGTGGTGGTGACATGGTCATTACGTGGTGGTAACATGGTCATTACGTGGTGGTGACATGGTCATTACGTGGTGGTAACATGGTCATTACGTGGTGGTGACATGGTCATTACGTGGTGGTGACATGGTCATTACGTGGTGGTGACATGGTCATTACGTGGTGGTAACATGGTCATTACGTGGTGGTGACATGGTCATTACGTGGTGGTGACATGGTCATTACGTGGTGGTAACATGGTCATTACGTGGTGGTGACATGGTCATTACGTGGTGGTGACATGGTCATTACGTGGTGGTAACATGGTCATTACGTGGTGGTGACATGGTCATTACGTGGTGGTAACATGGTCATTACGTGGTGGTGACATGGTCATTACGTGGTGGTGACATGGTCATTACGTGGTGGTGACATGGTCATTACGTGGTGGTGACATGATCATTACGTGGTGGTAACATGGTCATTACGTGGTGGTGACATGGTCATTACGTGGTGGTAACATGGTCATTACGTGGTGGTGACATGGTCATTACGTGGTGGTGATATGGTCATTACGTGGTGGTGACATGGTCATTACGTGGTGGTAACATGGTCATTACGTGGTGGTGACATGGTCATTACGTGGTGGTGACATGGTCATTACGTGGTGGTGACATGATCATTACGTGGTGGTAACATGGTCATTACGTGGTGGTGACATGGTCATTACGTGGTGGTAACATGGTCATTACGTGGTGGTGACATGGTCATTACGTGGTGGTGACATGGTCATTACGTGGTGGTGACATGGTCATTACGTGGTGGTGACATGGTCATTACGTGGTGGTAACATGCTCATTACGTGGTGGTGACATGGTATTACGTGGTGGTGACATGGTCATTACGTGGTGGTGACATGTCATTACGTGGTGGTAACATGGTCATTACGTGGTGGTGACATGGTCATTACGTGGTGGTAACATGGTCATTACGTGGTGGTGACATGGTCATTACGTGGTGGTGACATGGTCATTACGTGGTGGTAACATGGTCATTACGTGGTGGTGACATGGTCATTACGTGGTGGTAACATGGTCATTACGTGGTGGTGACATGGTCATTACGTGGTGGTAACATGCTCATTACGTGGTGGTGACATGGTCATTACGTGGTGGTGACATGGTCATTACGTGGTGGTAACATGATCATTACGTGGTGGTAACATGGTCATTACGTGGTGGTGACATGGTCATTACGTGGTGGTGACATGGTAATTACGTGGTGGTGACATGGTCATTACGTGGTGGTAACATGGTCATTACGTGGTGGTAACATGGTCATTACGTGGTGGTAACATGGTCATTACGTGGTGGTGACATGGTCATTACGTGGTGGTGACATGGTCATTACGTGGTGGTGACATGGTCATTACGTGGTGGTGACATGGTCATTACGTGGTGGTGACATGGTCATTACGTGGTGGTGACATGGTCATTACGTGGTGGTGACATGGTCATTACGTGGTGGTGACATGGTCATTACGTGGTGGTGACATGGTCATTACGTGGTGGTAACATGGTCATTACGTGGTGGTGACATGGTCATTACGTGGTGGTGACATGGTCATTACGTGGTGGTGACATGGTCATTACGTGGTGGTACATGGATACGGGGACATGGTCATTACGTGGTGGTGACATGGTCATTACGTGGTGGTGACATGGTCATTACGTGGTGGTAACATGGTCATTACGTGGTGGTAACATGGTCATTACGTGGTGGTGACATGGTCATTACGTGGTGGTGACATGGTCATTACGTGGTGGTAACATGGTCATTACGTGGTGGTGACATGGTCATTACGTGGTGGTGACATGGTCATTACGTGGTGGTGACATGGTCATTACGTGGTGGTAACATGGTCATTACGTGGTGGTGACATGGTCATTACGTGGTGGTGACATGGTCATTACGTGGTGGTGACATGGTCATTACGTGGTGGTAACATGGTCATTACGTGGTGGTGACATGGTCATTACGTGGTGGTGACATGGTCATTACGTGGTGGTACATGGTCATTACGTGGTGGTGACATGGTCATTACGTGGTGGTAACATGGTCATTACGTGGTGGTGACATGGTCATTACGTGGTGGTACATGGTCATTACTGGGGACATGTCATCGTGGTGGTGACATGGTCATTACGTGGTGGTAACATGGTCATTACGTGGTGGTGACATGGTCATTACGTGGTGGTGACATGGTCATTACGTGGTGGTAACATGGTCATTACGTGGTGGTGACATGGTCATTACGTGGTGGTGACATGGTCATTACGTGGTGGTAACATGGTCATTACGTGGTGGTGACATGGTCATTACGTGGTGGTAAGACATGGTCATTACGTGGTGGTGACATGGTCATTACGTGGTGGTGACATGGCATGTGGTGATCATTACGTGGTGGTAACATGGTCATTACGTGGTGGTGACATGGTCATTACGTGGTGGTAACATGGTCATTACGTGGTGGTGACATGGTCATTACGTGGTGGTGATATGGTCATTACGTGGTGGTGACATGGTCATTACGTGGTGGTAACATGGTCATTACGTGGTGGTGACATGGTCATTACGTGGTGGTGACATGGTCATTACGTGGTGGTGACATGATCATTACGTGGTGGTAACATGGTCATTACGTGGTGGTGACATGGTCATTACGTGGTGGTAACATGGTCATTACGTGGTGGTGACATGGTCATTACGTGGTGGTAACATGGTCATTACGTGGTGGTGACATGGTCATTACGTGGTGGTGACATGGTCATTACGTGGTGGTGACATGGTCATTACGTGGTGGTGACATGGTCATTACGTGGTGGTAACATGCTCATTACGTGGTGGTGACATGGTAATTACGTGGTGGTGACATGGTCATTACGTGGTGGTAACATGGTCATTACGTGGTGGTGACATGGTCATTACGTGGTGGTAACATGGTCATTACGTGGTGGTGACATGGTCATTACGTGGTGGTGACATGGTCATTACGTGGTGGTGACATGGTCATTACGTGGTGGTGACATGGTCATTACGTGGTGGTGACATGGTCATTACGTGGTGGTGACATGGTCATTACGTGGTGGTGACATGGTCATTACGTGGTGGTGACATGGTCATTACGTGGTGGTGACATGGTCATTACGTGGTGGTGACATGGTCATTACGTGGTGGTTACATGGTCATTACGTGGTGGTAACATGTTCATTACGTGGTGGTAACATGGTCATTACGTGGTGGTGACATGGTCATTACGTGGTGGTGACATGGTCATTACGTGGTGGTGACATGGTCATTACGTGGTGGTGACATGGTCATTACGTGGTGGTAACATGGTCATTACGTGGTGGTGACATGGTCATTACGTGGTGGTGACATGGTCATTACGTGGTGGTAACATGGTCATTACGTGGTGGTGACATGGTCATTACGTGGTGGTGACATGGTCATTACGTGGTGGTGACATGGTCATTACGTGGTGGTGACATGGTCATTACGTGGTGGTAACATGGTCATTACGTGGTGGTGACATGGTCATTACGTGGTGGTAACATGGTCATTACGTGGTGGTGACATGGTCATTACGTGGTGGTGACATGGTCATTACGTGGTGGTAACATGGTCATTACGTGGTGGTGACATGGTCATTACGTGGTGGTAACATGGTCATTACGTGGTGGTGACATGGTCATTACGTGGTGGTGACATGGTCATTACGTGGTGGTGACATGGTCATTACGTGGTGGTAACATGGTCATTACGTGGTGGTGACATGGTCATTACGTGGTGGTGACATGGTCATTACGTGGTGGTGACATGGTCATTACGTGGTGGTGACATGGTCATTACGTGGTGGTAACATGCTCATCCATCCATCCATCCATCCATCCATCCATCCATCCATCCATCCATCCATCCATCCATCCATCCATCCATCCATCCATCCATCCATCCATCCATCCATCCATCCATCCATCCATCCATCCATCCATCCATCCATCCATCCATCCATCCATCCATCCATCCATCCATCCATCCATCCATCCATCCATCCATCCATCCATCCATCCATCCATCCATCCATCCATCCATCCATCCATCTATCCATCCATGCCCCGTGTTCGCTTCACTTCACCGCACGTGCAGTGATCCAGTACGGGGAGGACAGCGCTGCTTTCGTAATGGACCTCAACAGCACGCACAAGACGTTCGTCAACAAACAAGAGGTGGGTTGGGAAGTGTGTAGCGCTGCTTGACACTATAAAATTTGTGTCACACTCAACGCTCACCCGTGAGCAAGAGGCGGATGGGCCGTGTAACCACACGGATTGATGCAAGCAGACTTGGCCCATCCACCTCAGCTCGTGTGAGTGAAGTGATCACGCGGCACTCCTCTGGTGACTTTTGAGTCGACTCAAAAGTCAGCTCGTGTGAGTGAAGTGATCACACGGCACTCAGCACTGCTTATTTTGATTGGGTCCCAATTCGTCGTTCGGCCGTGATGGTTGCCCCCTTCCCATCCGCACAGGTCAAGCCAGGAACTTATGTCCCTCTGAGGGTTGGTGACGTCATCAAGTTTGGCTTGTGAGTGATGGTGACATCATCAAGCTTGGAAAAGTCTCCTCTTTGATCTACGTCAGCTCTTCCTTTTAGAGACTTCTTGAAAGCAAAAGCCCACCGGTGCTTTTTTTGGACGTGATGGTTACAACGATTGTGCTGCTCCACCCATTCATTGATTTGCAAGCCACCCATGCCCCCATGCCCCCATGCCCCCATGCCCCCATGCCCCCATGCCCCCATGCCCCCATGCCCCCATGCCCCCGTGCCCCCGTGCCCCCATGCCCCCATGCCCCCATGCCCCCATGCCCCCATGCCCCCATGCCCCCATGCCCCCATGCCCCCATGCCCCATGCCCCCATGCCCCCATGCCCCCATGCCCCCATGCCCCCATGCCCCCATGCCCCCATGCCCCCATGCCCCCATGCCCCCATGTCCCCATGTCCCCATGTCCCCATGTCCCCATGTCCCCATGTCCCCATGTCCCCATGTCCCCATGTCCCCATGCCCCCATGCCCCCATGCCCCCATGTCCCCATGTCCCCATGTCCCCATGCCCCCATGCCCCCATGCCCCCATGTCCCCATGTCCCCATGTCCCCATGCCCCCATGCCCCCATGCCCCCATGTCCCCATGTCCCCATGCCCCCATGCCCCCATGTCCCCATGTCCCCATGTCCCCATGTCCCCATGTCCCCATGCCCCCATGCCCCCATGCCCCCATGTCCCCATGTCCCCATGTCCCCATGCCCCCATGCCCCCATGCCCCCATGTCCCCATGTCCCCATGTCCCCATGCCCCCATGCCCCCATGCCCCCATGTCCCCATGTCCCCATGCATGCCCCCATGCCCCCATGTCCCCATGTCCCCATGTCCCCATGTCCCCATGTCCCCATGCCCCCATGCCCCCATGCCCCCATGTCCCCATGTCCCCATGTCCCCATGCCCCCATGCCCCCATGCCCCCATGTCCCCATGTCCCCATGCCCCCATGCCCCCATGTCCCCATGCCCCCATGTCCCCATGTCCCCATGTCCCCATGCCCCCATGCCCCCATGTCTCCTGCTCCTCTTGCTGTGCCTTCCTGCCAGGTCCTCTCGCCTCTATCTCTTCCAGGGCCCTCCAGACCTCATGCCCGAGGTGAGTCAAGCGGCATGCACAGGCCCCACGCACAAGCCCCATGCACAAGCCCCACGCACAAGCCCCATGCACAAGCCACATGCACAAGCCCCATGCACAAGCCCCATGCACAAGCCGCATGCACGCACTAAGCACCATGCCTCCTCCACCATGCGCCATGGTACCCTACCCTTGTGCACTCCTCTTCCTCTGCTCTCCTGTCACATCCTCTCGCGTTTACCTCTTCCAATGCCCTCCAGACCTCATGCCTGAGAGGTGAGGCAAGGTTTCCGTTGAGTCCGGTTTTGAGTTGATGCTTATGTTGTGTTGAATTCGTGCCATGGCATGCTTCATGTCTCATGCCTTAGATAACCCATGCCCCATCCCCTATGCCCTGTGCCTCATGCCCCATGCGCCATGCCCCCCATGCCTCATGTCTCATACCGCGTGCACAAAGTGAGTGCAGCTAAGAGACGCCACCTTGAGCAGCACAGCAGCAGGCAGCAGAGCAGAGCCAACTCTTCTTTCAGTTTTCTACCCCCCCCCCCCTCTTCCCCCCTCCCCCAACCGCCCCCAACAACCAAACCAGGAGGGCCCCTCTCGCGCTGAGCGCCGAGCGCAGCGGCAGCTGGCAGCTGAGAGACGGCAGGTGGCAGCAAGGGAGGCGGCAGAGAGGGAGCAGCGGCGGGCTGTGGCAGCAGGACGGGGGGAGGGCGAAGAGGAGGGCGGGGTGTCGTGGGGCATGCGAGAAGATGCTGAGGCGGAAGTGGTGAGAGAATGGGTGGGCAATGGCCGGTCGTGGCGAGAGGGAATCGATGAGGCAGTCCAAAGCAAGGCGCACCGGGTGGGGCACAGGGCAAGATGCTGAGGCCGAATGTTGTGTGAGTCAGCACAGCTTGTCACACAAAAGGCAGCAGAAGCGCTCTCCCCTCCATGCTCCCTTCATTCCCCCACCCCTCATTGCCCCATTGCTCCATTGCCCCTTTCCCCCACTGCCCCATTTTCCTCATTGCCTCGTTGCCCCATGCCACGTGGCAGGAGGAGGAGGACGAGGAGGAGGTGACGTGGCAGACCCACAAGGGCGAGTTGACTGACAACCAGAGGAAGCTCAAAGAGAAGATCATGAAGCGGCTGGAGAAGGTGAGAGCGGAGAGGGGGGATTTCTGCAAGATGCTGTATTCTTTTGTCTGGCATATCTTAGAACTCTCGCGAGGCATGGCTCAAGGAGAAAAACATGAAGCGATTGGACAAGGTGAGAGCGGGGAAGGTGAGAGCGGGGAAGGTGAGAGCGGGGAAGGTGAGAGCGGGGAAGGTGAGAGCGGGGAAGGTGAGAGCGGTGAAGGTGAGAGCAGGGAAGGTGAGAGCAGTGAAGGTGAGAGAGCGGAGAAGGTGAGATTTGGAAAGGCATGTGCGCGTTGAAGCCTAGTTGCCATCTAGTCAGTTGAGACAACGAGAGGAAGCTGAGGAGAAGACCATGGAGCAATTGGAGAAGGTGGGAGCACGGAGGGTACGACCTGGGGGAGGGGGGATAGCGGAAGGGAGGGTTGGGGAAGAGAGGGCTGGGGAAGGGAGGGCTGGGGAGTGGAGGGTTGGACGGTCTAGTTGCCGGTGCCATGCGTTGCATGGCGAACGGTGTTCTTGTTCGGGTGATCTAGTTGGTGCCACACGTTGCAGCTTGTGGTCCCACAATGTACAGTTAAGCAGCATGTGGGAGTGAGCGACGGATGCAGAGGTGGTTGTGATTGAGGCGAAGGAGGTGGATGGGGAGGGGGACATGCTCATGCTGCTGTTGTGTGCTTATATTTCACATTGCCCAATGTCCCCCCTCACACCCCCCACAGGTGCAGCACATGCAACGGAGGGAGATGGATGTGATGGAGTCTACACAGGTGGATGGGCGAGAGAGAGAGAGGCATGCTCGTGCTCCTGTGTGCTCCTATTTCTCCCCCATGCTGCTCACACCCCCCACAGGTGCAGCACATGCAACGGGAGATGGACGTGATCGAGGCAAAGGAGGTGGGGCAGGGTGGGTTGACTGCGGGGCAGCAGACGCAGATTGCCCGCAACAAGACGCGAATCCAGCAGGTGGGGGGGGATGAATGGAGGGTGTATGAAGGGGGTGGGGGGGGAGTATGAAGGATGTACGGAGGAGGTGTGGGGAGGTGTGGGGAGGGGTGGAAGAGGGCGATGTGAAGGGTGTATGAAGACAATCGGGAAGGGTGGGGGGGGGGGGGGGGGGGGGTTGCGGGGCTTATGAAGGGTGCATGGAGGGTATATGGATATATGGAAGGGGTATGGGGGGGGTGTATGAGGGGTGTACGGAGGGGGCATGGGGGATGGGGTGCGTGTTAGAATATCCCTCCATTCTATTATCCTGCATACATCAGCATCCCTCCATTCTATTATCCTGCATACATCAGCATCCCTCCATTCTATTATCCTGCATACATCAGCATCCTTGGGTAGTAGTAAACTTGGACCCACCAATAATTTGGCCAACGCAGCTTACGGTTGGGAGCCAATCATGTTGGCATACGACCCGACCCGACCCCACCAGCCCCCCTTTTCATTCCCAGCTATGTGAGCCCTCTCAATTCTCACCCTCTCAATCCAGCATCTCTTCAATTCTAAATTCTTCCCACCCACGGAATTCTCACAGGGGGTGTAGGAAGTGTATATGAAGGTGGTTTGGGGGGGATGAGTGCTATTGGGCTTAAGTTGAGACACCCCCCCCCTCTCCCCGCACCCCCCATCCTCCTTCCGTTCGCCCCCCTCTCTCTGTTGTTCCTTCATTTTCAGCCAATGGAGGAGACTCTGAACGAGAGCATTCAGGCGCCTGTGGGACGGAGAAGTCTGTCCTCACCTCTCTTCTCCCCACTCCCCCCCCCTCCATCCCTCCCTCGTTGCGTTTATCATCAGCTATTGGAGGAGGTGGAGGGAAGCATGGAGTTCGTTGGGACAAGGAAGAACTTGACTCGAGACCACCACCCCTCTCCCCCCCTCCCTTTCCCCCCTCCACGTTCTCCCTTGATCTCTTATCCCCAGCTCATGTAGGAGATGGAGAGCATGGATGGAGAAGACGCTCAACAAAAGAGAGCATTCAGGAGTCTGTTGGGGCAAAGAAGAACTTGACTTGAGAGTCGAGACCACCCTCTTGCCCCTTCCCCCCTCCGGTCTCTCCCTCGATCTCTTACCGTCAGCTCATGGAGGAGGTTGAGAGCATGGAGGAGACTCTCAACGAGAGTATTCAGGAGTCTGTTGGGGCGAAGAAGGGCGGCAGGAAGGGGAGGGCAGGGCGGCAGGAGGACGAGGAGGATGAGGGTGACGACAGGTGAGGGGGGCAACGACAGGTGAGGGGGGCGACGACAGGTATGAATGCTTTCACCTCTGTTTGACCAGGCACTGGCAGTATCGTTGTCCTCGCAGAGTTAAGGATGAGCACTTAGACCGAGTGCAGTCTGTTACAAATTTTGGAACGTAGTCTGCAAGCTGTAACACACCGAGATTGGTGAAGTCCTTCCAGGGCGCCTTGAAAGACTTTTGAGGCACCTCAACAGTCGTCTGTAACAAACCGAGGTTGATGAAGTCCTCGCTTTTGATCCTTTTTTTAGAATTCTAAGAAAGCAACATCACAGAGCACTTAAAGCGAGGATGAGCACTTAGAGCGAGGATGAGCACTTAGAGCGAGGATGAGCACTTGGACAGAGTGCAGTCACCCCGATGCCGCAAGCAAGCAAGCAAGGATCGTCCAAGATTCCCTGTGTTCCCATCTATGCCGTCCCCATCCGTGCAGTCTATCCCCGTGTTCCTATCTATGCCGTCCTCGTGCCTTGTGTCTCATCCCCCCCGCTCCACCCGCAGTGATGATGAGTTCTTCGACCGAGTGCAGTCGAACCGCCACCGCAGGCAAGCCAGGATCGCCCTTGCAGGGGTGAAGAGCGCAGGCGAGGGGGCCGCAGGGGCTGTAGCGGGGGCCAAGGGGGGAGCGGCTGTGGTGACGGCAGCTGACCTGCTGGAGCAGAGGCACGTGCTGCAGGAGCGGTTGAGAGAGGTGGAGGAGGGTTTGGAGGAGGAGAGGAGGAAGGAGGGGGAGGGGAGGGGGGAGGGGGAAGGGAAGGGCGGAGGAGAGGGTGAGGGGGATGGGGTGGCGTTGGACCCTTTGGATGCTTTCATGTCTGCAGTGAACACAAAGATAGGTGCGCTGCTGAGATGTCTGGTCAGGGTGGATGTGTAGCTGACCGCAGGGTAGAATATGGGAGGGAGTGGAGTGGTATGGAGCCCATTGCATGCTTTCGTGTCTGCAGTGAACATAAAGCTAGGTGCGCTGGTGTAATAGGTGCGTTCGGGGTAGGTGGGGGGCTCAACTCAAGGGTGGGCATGCAGGAGAGAGGGAGGGGGGTGGGGTGGCACTGGACCTGGACCCAGTGCACTGGATGCTTTCGTGTCAGCAGTTAGCACACAGACGGGTGCGCTGGTATGCTGGTAGGCGATTGACAATGTTATATGGCCATCCTTCCGATGCATGCCTCTTCTCTTCCTCTTCATCTTCCTCTTCCCCCATCATCCCTCCTTTCATTCTCCCACACACACTCTGTTCGCTTCTCCCCCTCACCCTTTCTCTCCTTCTCCATCTCACCAACGCCTTTGTTCCTTTTCACAGAAAAGGACAAGACAGGGACGCTGACAAGGGAAGCCGCCCGGTTGTCAGGCGAGCTGGCACGAGTGGCGGCGCTGCTACAGCTGGCGGACCCATCAGGAGAGGCAGAGGCCAAGTGGACCCCACCCAGTGATAAGGGGAAGGGCGGAGGAAGGAAGAAGCAAAAAGCGGCAACCACTCTGCCTGCTGCTCCTACTGCTGCTCCTATTGCTGTTCCTGGTGCTGCTGACAAGGACTCGGCAGGAAAGGGCGAGGGATCGAAGGTCAAGGGTGGGGTGCCGGATGCGGAGGTTGGGGAGGGTGAAAGTAAAGCTGGGTTGCGGGACAGTGAAGGCGAAACGAGGGGCACTGAAGGGAGCGCTGCAGCAGCAAGAGGCAGTACTGCCGAGGGGGCAGGAACAGCAGCTGCGGGCATTGAAGGAAGGGGCAGGCTAAAGGGAGGTGTGACTGCAGAGGGGGGAGGAGGGGGGAATGCAGAGGGAGAGGGACGGGAAGGAATACAGGAAGCACGGGTGGGGAGTGTGGAGAGCACAGGGGGAGAGGAGGTAGGGGGAGCATGGAGGCAAGATACTGCAGGGGAGAGTGTGGGCGGAGGGAAGAGGAGAGGAGGTGGGGATACTGGGTCGGCTCAAGGTCGGAGCAAGACGGATGCTGCTGATGGCGGCAAGGGCAATGGCACTGGAGGTAACAGTGGTGGTGGTGGTGATGGTGATGGTGATGGCAGTGGTGGTGGCGGTGGTGGTAGCAATGTTGCTGCTGGGAGTGGCAGTGGGGGAGGAGAGGTGAAGCGGCGGAGGGTGTTGGGACCGGCACGGCCGAAGTTTCTGGAGGAGGCAGCAGCAGAGATGGAGCAAGGCACAGAGGCGTGGATGCCCCCGCAAGGTGCGTGCGTGTGCGATTCTGCGGTTGCTCTGTTCTCTGCTGCGTGCTTGCTTGTATGCAGCTTGTGTGCAATCATGGGGGCATGGCATAGAGGCAGGGACGGCCCCTCTAGGTGCAATGATTGGACATGGCACAGAGAAGTGGACGGCCCCCAAAGGGGTGCGTGTGTGGGTGTGCGGTTGTGGCGGGCAGGGGGAGAGTGGGGGGAAGGATGTGTACGCGTCTGGAAGTGTGGGCACACGTATGTACGAGCGTGAGTGTGGGCATTCGTATGTACGGCGTGAGTGTGGGCATTCGTATGTACGGGCATGCCTTAAGCTCCTTCCCTAGTCTGGCACGAACCATAGCCCCCTTAAAGCCCTACATGCTTGTTGGCAGGGATTAGGGTGGATGAGTATCTACAGCGCCCTTTCCCTCTTGAGTCAACTCAAGAGTGGGTGGATGAGGGAGAGGAGGGCGTGTGCTGTGGACATGGATGACAGGTGGGCTGCGGAGGCCTTGTTTCCTTCAAATAAGACATGGATGACAGGTGGGCTGCGGAGGCCTTGTTTCCTTCAAATAAGACATGGATTACAGGTGGGCTGCGGAGGCCTTGTTTCCTTCAAATAAGACATGGATGACAGGTGGGCTGCAGAGGCCTTGTTTCCTTCAAATAAGACATGGATGACAGGTGGGCTGCGGAGGCCTTGTTTCCTTCAAATAAGACATGGATGACAGGTGGGCTGCGGAGGCCTTGTTTCCTTCAAATAAGACATGGATTACAGGTGGGCTGCGGAGGCCTTGTTTCCTTCAAATAAGACATGGATGACAGGTGGGCTGCGGAGGCCTTGTTTCCTTCAAATAAGACATGGATGACAGGTGGGCTGCGGAGGCCTTGTTTCCTTCAAATAAGACATGGATGACAGGTGGGCTGCGGAGGCCTTGTTTCCTTCAAATAAGACATGGATTACAGGTGGGCTGCGGAGGCCTTGTTTCCTTCAAATAAGACATGGATGACAGGTGGGCTGCGGAGGCCTTGTTTCCTTCAAATAAGACATGGATGACAGGTGGGCTGCGGAGGCCTTGTTTCCTTCAAATAAGACATGGATGACAGGTGGGCTGCAGAGGCCTTGTTTCCTTCAAATAAGACATGGATGACAGGTGGGCTGCGGAGGCCTTGTTTCCTTCAAATAAGACATGGATGACAGGTGGGCTGCGGAGGCCTTGTTTCCTTCAAATAAGACATGGATTACAGGTGGGCTGCGGAGGCCTTGTTTCCTTCAAATAAGACATGGATGACAGGTGGGCTGCGGAGGCCTTGTTTCCTTCAAATAAGACATGGATGACAGGTGGGCTGCGGAGGCCTTGTTTCCTTCAAATAAGACATGGATGACAACTGGGCTGCGGAGGCCTTGTTTCCTTCAAATAAGACATGGATGACAGGTGGGCTGCGGAGGCCTTGTTTCCTTCAAATAAGACATGGATGACAGGTGGGCTGCGGAGGCCTTGTTTCCTTCAAATATGACATGGATGACATGGATGACATGGATGACATGGATGACATGGATGAGGGAGAGGACTGCCTGTGCTACTCTGCGCTCCTTCTCTCCTCCTTCGCCTGCTCTCTTCTCTTTCCGTTCCGCGTGCTTGTCACTAGTACTTCCAACAAAGAGGTTCAGGAGACTGTGTGAGACGTCAACATCCTGCGTAATCCAGACGGCGTAATCCACCTATGAACCGCCCCTCTCCCTCCCCCCCTTCCTGCGCCCCCCAGCCTCTCCTTCTCTATGGGTGTGCGGACATATTTATCACAATCACATCAAATCTCCTAAAAGTGATAATGCCCTAAATGAGGGCACATTCCATCTGCTGCTGATCCTCCTACTCTCAATCCCCTAACCCCCCATCCCCTGACCCCCAATCCGCTGGCCCCCCATCCCCTCATCCCTCGACCCACCCCCTGAACCCCTCTCCCTGAACCCCCAACCCCTACCACTGGCCCCCCTACCGCTGGGCCCCCTACCGCTGACCCCTGAACCCCCCACCCGCTGACCCCTGTCTTCCCCCCCCGGTCCCTCCCCCTCCCTGTGCAGGTCAAAGCGGGGATGGGCGCACACTACTCAACAAGAAGCTTGGATATTGAAATTGAAGTCAATGCTACTTTGGATTCGGCCCAAAAGCTTTTGATTTGACTCAAAAGCAGGGATGGGTGCACAGAACTCAACAAGAAGCTCGATATTGAATCTTGTACCGTACTTACTAGTGGGTGCATGTGCGTGTGGGAGAGTGATCAATAAATGTAATTTTTTGAAAGTGTGTAACACTTTCTAAAAATGTGTATTGTGAGAGTGTAGCGAGGGCCTACGCAGCAAAGGCAGCGACGAAGCGCTACTCACCCTCTTTTGCCTACAAAAGAGGGACGTGAGGCCAATCGGCCCCACCCACGTTCTTCATTTCTAGTTTCTCTAGTTCAATTTCCGCAGTTTCTCGTCCAACCTGGCGAAGACCCAGTCCCTCCCCCGAGGCAAGGCTCCGACGACGCTCCTCACCGACATTTTGCAGCACAACCTCGCTAACATGGCGTCGGCGAACACGACTCCGAATCGTTCGACGAACAACCCCAACAATTCCGTGGAGCCCGCAACTTCGGCCGGGGCAACCGCCCGTCGCCAGAAACGTCCTGGTGAGGAAATTTTTGGCGAGGGGCCCTCGGCTGTCGAGGTCCTGCTTGGCGCCAATCGCGCTGCTCCAGAAGAAACTCGCGCGGCACGCGCCTGTGCACCTCGCGACGGCTGCAGGCCACGCGGGCCCCACTGAGCACACGCCCTTTGACGAGGTCGTGCCAGCCGCCGCCGCCCCCGCGTTGACCGCACAACAACTCCAGGCGCTTTTGGCGCTGTTACACCTGTTAAAATTATATAAGTTATAATTTATATAGGCTTGGTAGGTTGTTACTGAACCTTTTCTGTAGAGGGTACAAACCCCTCCTTGTACTCCTCTCTCTTCCTAATCCAACACTCTTTTCCTCTCCTCAACTTTCCTAGCACCTAAAACCTCTCGCCATTCTCATGGCTCCTCCTAGCTCCTAGCTAAACCTTGTGCCATTCTATGGCTTCCTAGCTAAGCTAGTCTTTTGACATGGTATCAGAGCAGTTCGTTCCGTGTGGGCCTGCTCCTCGCGTTTCCGCTGCGTGCTCGTTTCTCTCTCTATCTCGCGCTGCCATGGCGGCCGCGTCAAGCTGCTGTGGCCGCGTCGTCCTGCCGCGGCGCCGCTGTCGACGTCCATGGCGCCCGCGTCCAGCTGCTGTGGCCGCGCCGTCGTGCCGCAGCTCCGCCGTCGCGTCAGGATGCTGTCGCGACGTGACGGCGCCGTCACGCTGCCGCGGCGTCGACGCGACAGCGCGCAGTCGGCGTACCAGCGACGTCGTGCTGCCGTCGCAGCGTCGACGCCCCGCTGCGGCATCGACGCCGCTCCATGACAGCGTCGTCGGGCTGCAGCCGGCCGCGTGACGCTTGTGGCGCCGCTAGACCGGCCGCCCGCATGTCAGCCTGTGGCGCCGCCCCCCCCCCCCACCCCCCCTCCTTCCCCTGCGCCCTCTTCCATTCCGCAGACGACGGCTGACTCCCGCCGGCCGTCCCACAGTCGCGGGGCCAGGCCACGTCACCGAGAGGTGCGGGTGCCGCCGCCGCTGCCGCTGTTGTCGAAGCCGCCGCCGCCGCCGCTGTCGCCGCTTGCGTCGGGGCCACGCAGCCGCACGCCGCCGCCGCCGCCGCTGTCGACACTGCCGCCGCTGCCGCCGTCGCCGCCGCAGCCCCTGCGGTCGACGTCGCCGCCTCACGCGCCGTGGGGTCGACCGACCTAGAGTCGCTGTCACTGTGGCTGGAATGGGGGTGCTAGGTTAGGGGGTGTGGGTGTGTGTGGGTGTGTGACTACCAAGCCTAGGGGGTGTGTTAAAATTATATAAGTTATAATTTATATAGGCTTGGTAGGTTGTTACTGAACCTTTTCTGTAGAGGGTACAAACCCCTCCTTGTACTCCTCTCTCTTCCTAATCCAACACTCTTTTCCTCTCCTCAACTTTCCTAGCACCTAAAACCTCTCGCCATTCTCATGGCTCCTCCTAGCTCCTAGCTAAACCTTGTGCCATTCTATGGCTTCCTAGCTAAGCTAGTCTTTTGACAACACCAGCAGCCCAATGTTACGCTCGGAACATCTTCGGACAATATAACTGCTACGACCAATTTCGCCAAGAAGAAAGAAATGCTGCCACCTACTCGTGCACCGAAAGCTCCGCGCGTCGACAACCAGCCCCCGGCACCGACTCCCGCACACGCCAATGACACCGACAACAGCGACAACTCTGAAAACGATGATGGTGAGGCTCCTGCCAATATTGCTCGCCATCGCATTCTCGCCCCCGCCCCCCCTCTTCCCCCCCTTGGTCCCACGCCCACAGCAACTACCTTCATGCGTAAGGGCGTGCACGAGCAGGCCGAAGTCTTCACTGCTATCCAAGCGCACCTGCAGCACATCGACTTCGAGCTGCAGCACGGCAACGTCACCGGCGCACTCAACAACGTGAAACACATCGAGACGCTTACTAATAAGCGTTTCGAGGTGCTTCTCGTGGCGGATGAGGCCGGCTTTGAGGCCGCTGATCGCTTCCAGCTCTACCAGTCCAAGAGTGTGCTGACGTCCCGTTCCTACAAGCTGGCGGTCGCCGACGTGGCTGCACTCAAGCGCGCACGCACCATCTACCCCCGTGGTGGTCGTCCCGGCGGTCGTGACGGAGAAATGGACCTCAAAGGCTCCCCCCCTCTCACGTGCCAGCAGCCACGCTTCAAGGGCGTGTGCTTCCGCTGTGGCCAGCCAGGTCACATGGCTAACGCGTGCCCCATGGGCGGGCGTGGAGCACAAGGCCCCTCACCGGTGGTGTGAGCAGGGGTAAGGGCGGTGCCCTTCGCCAATATGCAAGAAGCATATTGGGCTGCACCGGGGGTGCATGGCTGGTGGCCGGCCTTAGGACAAGGCAAATGGCCTAGTAGACTAAGGTAGCCCTAGGGGCAGAGAAGGCCGTGGGCCTAGAACCTTGCGTTATTCCATGTATGGATCATGCATGCCGTTATGGCGCATTGAAACTAAGATTGCAAAAAAAAAAAAAAAAAAAAAACTTTTGCAAGGCCTTGATGAAAGAGAGAAAGAGAGAAGGCAAGAGAAACAGAGAGAGAGCGAGCGAGAGAGAGAGAGAGAGAGAGAGAGAGAGAGAGAGAGAGAGAGAGAGAGAGAGAGAGAGAGAGAGAGAGAGAGCATAAGATAAAGAGAGAGAAAGACCATAAGAGAAAGAGAGAGAGAGAGAAAGAGAGAGAGAGAGAGAGAGAGAGAGAGAGAGAGAGAGAGAGAGAGAGAGAGAGAGAGAGAGAGAGGGAGAGAGAGATAGAGAGAGATAGAGAGAGAGAGAGAGAGAGAGAGAGAGAGAGAGAGAGAGAGAGAGAGAGAGAGAGAGAGAGAGAGAGAGAGAGAGAGAGAGAGAGAGAGAGAGAGAGAGAGAGAGAGAGAGAGAGAGAGAGAGAGAGAGAGAGAGAGAGAGAGAGAAGAGAGAGAGAGAGAGAGAGAGAGAGAGAGAGAGAGAGAGAGAGAGAGAGAGAGAGAGAGAGAGAGAGAGCATAAGAGAAAGCAAAGGGAAAGAGCACAAGAGAACGAGAGAGAGAGAGAGAGAGAGAGAGAGAGAGAAAAAAAAAAAAGAGATAGAAAGAGAGAAAGAAAGAAAGTGTGTGTGTGTGTGTATGAGAGAGAGAGAGAGAGAGAGAGAGAGAGAGAGAGAGAGAGAGAGAGAGAGAGAGAGAGAGAGAGAGAGAGAGAGGGCGCAGAGAGAGAGAGAGAGAGAGAGAGAGAGAGAGAGCAGAGAGAGAGAGAGAGAGAGAGAGAGAGAGAGAGAGAGAGAGAGAGAGAGAGAGAGAGAGAGAGAGGGAGAGAGAGAGAGGGAAAGAGCGAGAAAGAAAGAGTGAGAGAGAGAGAAAGAGAGAGAGAGAGAGAAGAGAGAGAGAGAGAGAGAGAGAGAGAGAGAGAGAGAGAGAGAGAGAGAGAGAGAGAGAGAGAGAGAGAGAGAGAGAGAGAGAGCGAGAGAGAGAGAGAGAGAGAGAGAGAGAGAGAGAGAGAGAGAGAGAGAGAGAGAGAGAGAGAGAGGTGACGAAGGCTCGAGCGCTAAAGGGAGAAGGCATGAATATCAGCCATGCCCTTTTTGCAATTGAACATGAGCCACTCTTGCTTTGCCAACTGAATGGGAGCTATGCCCCCCCCCCTGGAATCGACTATGACACATCCACCCTTTAGGCAATTGTCTGGTCTCACTCACTTGAGTACCTATGTGATTCTTGCCACCCGACCCTTTGGTCCAGCAGAAATTGGGAAAGGATGGTTACACAACGAACATGACCCCTACGAGTACGCGGTTACAGACAAGGACGTAACTGTCATGCATAGTCGATTGCGTCACGCCCTACACTGGTGGTGCTCATGGTGCGATAGCAGTTTCATCCTGTCCATCATCGCGAAAGGATATTGGCTTCCCTGGAAGGAAGCCGTGCCACGTGCCTTTGAGGATAGCAATCACGCTGGAGTTCACACACACCTGGACTTCACTCGTGGAGCGATTCGCGACCTCGTCACCTCGGGTGCCGCCGTCAAGGTCCATACGAAGGACGCGCTCATGTGTGTCAGTCCACTTAACGTGGTGGAGCAGCGCGACATGTGTCGCCTCATTCTTGACTTGCGCAAAGTCAACAACTACCTCGACATCCCCAAGTTCAAGTACGAAGGCTTGAACAAGGTAGCCGAACTCATCCGCCCTGACGATTGGATGTTCTCCATCGACCTAAAGTCAGGCTACCACCATGTCGAGATCCACCCCTCCTGCTGGAAGTTGTTGGGATTCCAGTTCGAAGGAGACTACTATTCCTTTATATCGCTCCCGTTCGGGCTTGCCACTGCCCCGTTCGTCTTCACACAACTGATCAAACAACTGGCAAGGCGATGGCGGGCAAGCGACGTGCGGGTTGTTCCATATGTCGAAGACTTACTATTCCTCTGCAACTCCCACTCGGATGCAAGCTCGACCTGCGCAGCTATTGTTAAGGACCTGAAGGCAGCAGGTTTTGTTATAAATGGCAAAAGGTCACATCTACACCCCTCGCGCTAGATAGCTTTCCTCGGCCTGGAGATTGATGCCGCCCAAGGCACCTTCTCCGTCGGACTCGAACGTCGAGCACAACTTTTTGCTTCACTCCAAGCCCTCATCACCCAGGGACAAGAGGGACGACCGGTCCCCATCCGGTCCCTTGCGAGAATCACAGGAATGCTGGCCTCCATGAATCTGTCATTGGGTGCTACGGCACGTGCCTTTAGTTACGAGCTCCTTCGACTTATTGCAGATGCCACCTCTTGGCACGCCAAGGCACACTTGTCGTCGACAGCAGTGCACGAGCTGCATTTTTGGCTTGCGCAGTTCGACAAGTTCAACGGAAACCCATTCCATCTCAGTCACCAGTTCGATGCCGTCATCCACGTTGATGCAAGCGTACACAGCTGGGGCGCCACCCTGACACAACTTCCTGGGACGCCCATTGAAGCCAGTGCTCGCATGCCCGAGGAACTACTGCCCACCTCCAGCACTCGACGGGAACTTGAAGGAGTTTTATGGGCTCTCCGAACTTTCGCTGCTCGCATACCCAAGCGCCACGTACTCGTTCGGGTAGACAATCAAGGCGTGGTATTCATCCTACGCAAAGGTGGATCGCGACACCCCACACTTACGCTACTGTGTCAAGCAATCATTCGCCTCTGCCTGGAACACCAAATAAGGCTAGCTGTCGAATGGATCCCACGAGAGCTGAATGCGCACGCCGACGAACTTTCAGAAATCCAAGACCACGATGACTACTCCCTCAAAGCCCCGTGGTTCCGGCTCTTGGATCGCTGCCTGGGTCCCCACTCTATCGATCTCTTCGCAAACGTGCACAACGCTCAGCTGGAGAGGTTTTGTTCCAAGATTCCACACCCTATGGCCGCAGTGTTTGACGCATTTTCGTTCAGCTGGAAGCACGAGCGCGGCTTTGCGTTTCCCCCTCCCAACCTCATTCTAGCCACATTACGACACGCTAAACGCACACATGCTGAGGTGACCTTGGTCATTCCCGAGTGGCCGGGAGCATCATGGTGGCCACTCCTCCAACAGGCACCTGACGTCTGGGTGCCAGAAGTAACCGCACACATTCCCCTCACCCACGGCAGCCAATGCCTACGCCCCGGCACACACGCACTCGCTTTCGCAGGACAAGGCTTTCCTCCTAGTAAGATGATTGCACTGCATGTCACGTATAAAAATTAATAATAATTGTACTCTACGCTGTACCTTTTCAGGCATTATAACAAAGCTGCAAACACAACTACTACACGTAATCACCCATGTCCGTGCCCCTTCCACCATCCGAACGTATGAGCCCTACTGGCTCAAATTTCGCTCCTTCTGCATGAAGGTGAAGTTGAGCTACTTGCCTGCAACGGATATGACCTTGGCACTCTACCTCATTCATGCACTAAATCACCAGGCCACCATATCTGCCATATCGCTTACATGCTCCGCCGTCGCCTTCGCGCATCGCATGACTGGCGAGCCCTCTCCCTCGACTGGACCATATACACTACAAGTGCGCGAATTTGCCAAACGCCATGGCCCGCGCCCCACCTGGAACAAGGAACCTTTGTCGCTGCACCAAGTGCACACCATGGCCCGCCCCTTTCTGGAGTCCACCCGGCCGGCCGAATACCAGAAAGGACTCATCCCCATCCTTATGTTCGCCGCCTTCCTACGCTACTCCGACCTTGTCAGTCTCCAATGGCATGACATATAGTTTGAGCCGGAGGTGATGTGGCTGCTCATCCCGCACTCCAAGACCGACCAGGAAAGCAGGGGCACGTGGATTCCGGTCGCCGCCACTTCTGGCCCATACTGCCCGGTACGCTGCACACGACACTTTCTTCTCCTCGCGGGTCACACCTCCACCCCACACGGGCCATTGATCCGAGTCTTCGGGAACCGTAGTACGGCAACTCCACAGGACTACGCACCTTCGTACACCACCATTCGGAACTGGTGCCTTGAAGCATTCACCAGGGCCGGCCTCGATAGCGCCCACCTCGGCACCCACTCCTTTCGCAAGGGCGCTGCTACAGCGGTAGCCAGCCTGGGGATATCCGACCGGCTGTTCAAGCGACTTGGCCGTTGGCGCAGCGATAATGCCAAGGAGCTCTACGTTACCATCGCGCATGACCAACTCCTTCAAGCCTCCATGCAACTCCAAGACGCAGCCACCGCTCCCACGCCCAATCAGCACCAGCTATCTATTGAACGCCACTGCCAACCCCTTCTGCACATGTCTCAGAAGACCCAGATGAAATGAAGCACGCTGCCTTTACAAGAGGACCTAAGCAAACTTTCACAATATGTAATTTTTTGAAAGTGTGTAACACTTTCTAAAAATGTGTATTGTGAGAGTGTAGCGAGGGCCAACGCAGCAAAGGCAGCGACGAAGCGCTACTCACCCTCTTTTGCCTACAAAAGAGGGACGTGAGGCCATTCGGCCTCACCCACGTTCTTCATTTCTAGTTTCTCTAGTCCAATTTCCCCGCCCACCCACCCTCTTGTGTGCAGTTCTTTGTTGGACGAGAACCATGTATGTTTCCCAGATGAAATGAAGCACGCTGCCTTTACAAGAGGACCTAAGCAAACTTTCACAATGGGTACATTCATATGCCCTCGGCAGCTCGTGCTTTCGTCAGTTTGGTGTATACAGTTCGAGCTGCCCGACAATCTTGAGAAACATCATGTCACATTGCAATTTTCTGTGGCGACCCCCTGCGACACCAATTCAACAGCCACCTGGCGCGTCGTGAATGGCCACCCAGTATGAGCGTACCCCGTTACCCGTGTTGTGGTAAAATCATACTTAAAGCCCGCGGCTAAAATAGCAGACCTGGAAACCACTTGAATTTGGTGCTTTGAAATCTGTTTAAGTATAGAATGGAAGGCAGCTTTGAGTTCAAGCCTGAACAAGAAAAGTGCGTCGCAACAAATTCTGGTCGAGCTTGCTGATTGGAGGAATGGCGAAAGAACTCATTTTGCTGTTTGTTGCGACACAATCATTTGGATGCGAATTGCGCAAAAACACTGTGTTCATCGCATGGAGTTTCTACGACGGGTTTGGGCGAGCAGCTTGCGAAGAGGAAATACAGGCGCTTTATGACTGTGGAATTCAAGTGATTTCGAGGTCTGCAATTCCAGAATCAGCTATTGTTCGCCAAAAAAACACTGTTCTCGCATTTGCACTGTTTACGGAACCAAGAATTTGGTCGCACGACGCGTATTGCACTGTTCACCGAATGGTTTCGTGCAAAAATTGTCGCCAAACCGCCTCGGTCAGATTCCGCTTTGCAAAACGAAATGTTGTTATTCTGTTTCGTTTACTCTAAAGATCAAGTCATGTGCCAAGTTCAAGAGCAAATTAAGCAGCCTTCTTGATTGCTATTACTAGATTGCTATTATAGCAACAGCTCTGATAGATGATATCGAATTATATTGTAGTTAGCATCCGTAGAATGACGTCAGCAAATAGTGCTCGTCTGGATGGTTACGTTAACAAGCCATTTCAGTTACGTGAACAGTCGCGCCCCTTTCAGTAGCGATTAGAGCGCATATCGCAATTAGCCTTTGAACAGGTACATTACCGAACAGGTACTTCTGCATCACTCTTAAAATTCTTTCATGGTATGAGAGCTATCTGGAACTAAGACTACTGTCAACAATGACTGGACCATCATCAGCTCCAACACCAGGTTTCTCAACAACCGGACCTACAGCTACGGGTGTTACAAATCCTATAGTCTTCACAAGTCAAGCAGGTGATTCTGCAGCTGGAAATTTTCCACCTGCTTACTCTTCTATTGGGATGCCTCAACAGCAGCAAGGAGTGTCTGCTTTGCATCCACCGGGGACTTCGTCCTCTGCACCTGCAACATCACGGCAACAAGCAGCAGCATCAGTAACGGCGGCCCTCAGTAATATGAGTATTGATGGATCCAACTATGCAAGAGCTGCAACCGGTCCAAGCTCCGGTTCTTCGTTTGCATTCACACATGCGCAACAACAACAATTTCAATTTCTGCAACAGCAACAACAAGCGCAACAACAGTTTCAGCAACAACAGATTCCGCAGCAGCAGACTTCTCTTACTGGACCCATTTTTCAGGCTCCAAATATCTTAAGCAATACGCAGATAAAGACAACAATACCTTTTAATGGCAATGACTTATACTCCTGGAGTTTTGAGTTCGAGCTCCTCGCAAAATCCATTGGATTGTGGCCGTACTTCAGCGGCGATTACTCATATCCTGTTACGGGAACACAGATGGAGCAACAAAGTTTTCTTCATGCTTCACTCAGCGCCTACACAGTCCTTATCCGAAATCTGTCACTGAAAGAGCAGTTGGGAATACGCTCTCTACACACCAGTTTGACTCCAACTTATTATGCATGGAAGCATTTAAAGGGATTGTATATGGTACAAGACACCGTCTCCGTGAGTATGATTCTCTCACAATTGACAACTGTACAGATGCAAAGCAATGAGAATGTCTCGGATTACATCAACAGGGCTCGAACACTTCGTGATCAATTGGAAAAATGCGGCGGATAATCCCAAAAGATATGTTAATAACGGTTCTTCTTGCCGGCCTTGGAGCAGAATGGCGGCAGTGTCGATCTCTTCTCCGTATTCAACAAAATCTTTCTGAAGCTGAAATCTGTTCGATCCTTCAAGCAGAACAGCAGGACATTGACCTGCAAACAGCACGCAACAAAAGGGGAACGGTCAACGTCAGTTTTTATTCAACGCCTGTAAAACGGAACAGCAAGTTCTTCTGTCACTAGTGCAAAAGGGATGGACACAGCATCAAGTTTTGCAACAAGCTTCATGCTGATAAAAAGAGAGGAGTGCAACAGTCATCGCAGCAGTCAAAGCAACTCGTGAAGGAGAATCCACCAACAACTCCCGCCACATCAGGAAAACAAGTTTTCAGCTGTGTTACAACAGTTCATGCGACGGATTCAGATTTCGACGATGAAGAGGAACAAAGCTCTATAGAGCAACCTGAGAACATGGTCTTACCTCAAG